AAACCCAACCCTCACAGTTATTAACATCTTCACCTACCCTGATCCTAAACCTTACTGTCAGAGATATTAAGGTCTACACCTACCCCACTCCTAAACCCAACTCTCACAGTTTTTACGGTCTACACCTGCCCCAATCCTAAACCCAACCCTCACAGTTATTAACATATACTCCTACTCCGATCCTAAACCAAACTATCACAGATATTACACCCCATTCAAATGAGGCGTCAGCGTCAACGCTTCCCATTCACTTTGAAAGGGGGATGTCAGCCGTTGCCGAACTGCATTGTGGATCCGTTGGCGCCGCTTCAGAGGTGTTGCTCGCTGCTGAAGTTGGGACTATCTCAACTTTTCAAGCGCCGATGGAAGCGTCAGCCAATCAGATCGCTGTATGCAAATACACCTGCAAGACAGTGGCCTATTGCTGACTAAATTTCATTGGCTGACGCTGCGATGATGATCGCTTTAGCCCCAACTTCAGACACGCCTTCAGTCAAGAGTTGACGCTGAAGACCAGTGTGAATGGGGTGTTAACGTCTACACCTACCCCTTCCTAAACCCAACCCTCACAGTTATTAACATCTACACCTACCCCGATCCTAAACCCAACCTTCAGTTATTAAGGTCTACAACTACCCCAATCCTAAACGCAACACTCACAGTTATTAAGGTCTACACCTACCGCAATCCCAAATCCAACAATCATAGATATTAACGTCTACACCTACCACGATCCTAAATCCAACCATCACAGAGGTTAACATCTACATCAACCCCAACCCTTACAGTTATTAAGGTCTACACCAACCCCAATCCCAACCATCACAGATGTTAACGTCTACACCAACCCCAAAAACCCAACCCTCACAGTTATTAAGGTCTACACCTACCCCAATCCCAAACCCAACCATCCAGATATTAACGTCTACACCTACCCCAATCCTAAACCCAACCCCTCACAGTTAAGGTCTACACCTACCCCAATCCTAAACCCAACCCTCACAGATATTAACATCTACACCTACCCCGATCCTAAAGCCAACCATAACAGATGTTAACGTCTACACCAACCCCAAAAACCCAACCCTCACAGTTATTAAGGTCTACACTTACCCCAATCCCAAACCCAACCATCCAGATATTAACGTCTACACCAACCCCAATCCTAAACCCAACCCCTTACAGATATTAACATCTACACCTACCCCGATCCTAAACCCAACCATAACAGATGTTAACGTCTACACCTACCCCAAAAACACAAACCTTATAGTTATTAAGGTCTACACCAACCCCAATCCTAAACCCAGCCCTCACAGTTACCCAACCTGCACAGATATTAACGTCTATAGCTGGGGTGCCCAAACTCAGTGCTGGTGTCCTGCATAGTTTAGCTCCAAATTCCTTCAACACACCTGCCTGGAAGTTTCTGGTATAGGTAGAAAGATCTAGATTAGTTTGTTCAGGTGTGTCTAACTGTGGTCGGAACTAAATTCTGCTGGACACCGGCCCTCCAGGACCAAGTCTGGGCAGCCCTGGTCTACACCTACCGTAACATCACTGTAGTATGGCTGTTGCAAAGTCCACTATGTACTGAACCTGATGCAGTTTTTCATCGTGCTGGAGACTGCAAAAATATAATCTTGCCTCAGTCAGATGCTTGATCCAGTATCTGCTTTAACATACAATTCTAACAGTCCGTTGTATTCATGAGGTTTGGTGAAGCTTATTGAGAAATCTCTGCTGCTTGTGTTGTGCATATTACATGTACTGTTTAAAATAAGGGTTCAGAGAGTGTTGCAGCCATAGAAAAAAACTTTTTGAGTTCCTAGATGAACCGTTTAGTCACCAGTTCTTAACAGAAACATCTATTTATTATTATTTTTATTTTTTTAGAATTGGCACTTCCCGCTACTCTTACACTTCCAATCAAAAGCAAATTGACACCCTACATGAACACACAAAAAGGAGGGGTATAAGGGAACGGTTAGGGTTTAGATGAAGAAATTTGATTGGGCCCTACTCACAATTAAATCTATATGCAAAACTAGAATATTGCATAAAACGTCTTCAAGTAATGTAAATGAAAAAAAAGGCAAATATCTAAAAAAGAAAAATGGAATTCTCTGCAGTAGGAGAAGCCAATGTGGGCCTTTTTAGAACAATAATAAATAACCGGCGCTACAGAACACAATGAACGCGAGATGGCTTTTGGAAGCGTGAGGCTGCTCTGTGAGCAAAGCCTGCACACGTTTTCTCAATACGTTCCAGCATGTGCATCTTCAACAGATCATGTGATGATAAAAACATGTGCAATTGGACAACCAGCGAACTGACATCTGAAATATTTTGGTTATTCTAACATGCCTTGGCCAAACTCTGTTGTCAAAGTAGTTTGGTGTTATTAACTCCAGATTACAAGTAAATGTGTTTTTGTAAAATTTATGCACTTTTTTATTGGATAAAAAGTTTATCCTATTCAGTTGTGTGCATAATTATATATGCTCATTTTCATAATGTATGCGCATTTGGCTTTTCCATTAAGCATTTTATGCTATAATCCAAAATGTGCATAAAAATAGGTGGATGGAAACATCGCTTCCATCAAATGGAGCTCAATGTAGGGCTGCACGATTAATCAAAAAAAGATCACGATCTCGATTCGACCCTACACACAATCTTAATTCAGCTTTTTCTACAATTCAGCCAATTATATTGTCAAGGTCAGGAGAGAAGCAAAGGAAGTTGCACAAATCTTCACAGCAACATTCTCAAATGGTGTTAAAAGTGTAACATGCTGTATTTATAAGGTATAATTCACCCAAAAATGTAAAGTCTGTCTTCATGTTATGATGTTTCGCGTTTGCAAAATCACACATGAGCTGTTTGTTTACTTTTAAGAACCAGTGTTGCCAGATGTAGCTGACTGTTTCCAGCCTAAAACCAGCTGAAAAATAAAAAGCACAGCCCAACAATTTGTAGTCTCGTTGGGAGATCACAACTGATGTAAGCTTTTATTCGTGGAGAACTGGGGCTATGGCACCTCTTTGGGGTATCATAACAGCTTTATAAGTGAAGACCCGGCTGACGGGCACGCTGTTATAAAACCGCCCAATTTTACACTACCTGCCTATGTCATGTTTTTACCCGCAAAAATAAAGTTAAAAACTGCCCAATCTGGCAACATTGCCAAGAATGCGCGCGTGCCCGTCTATGACGCCTACTTTAGTGAACAGAAGCTGCATAGGCTGTGGATAACAGGTAATAAAGTTGTAAATAATGTTCCGTTTGTTGCACAGAGCGATTGTTTGAGGGCCGTGCGGAAGGTTTGATTTGCATGTAGGTGTTTTTTTCCCACACAGTGATGGCAGCCATGAGCCGCACTCGGGAATGAAAGTGAAACCAGTGCGCACAACATTTAAATGATCATATTGCATTTTAGAGTTATGATTATGACAAGCTTTTGATATGCTTTTTCTTACATAGCGAAAACAGTGTTGTGCATAAAAATAAAGTTTGCAGTGTCAGTATAACAACCCTAGTCTATATATAATGTTAAATATAATGCAAGAAGGAGTCTGATAATGACAAAATTCTAATTTTACCTGTGAAAACAAATGGTCTAATAATATTGTCACTAAAAGATGACAAGCACATGTCTTAAACATGAGATTCGTGATCTTGATTTTAAGCAAAAAAAAAAAAATCGTGATTCACATTTTTTGCCAGAATCATGCAGCCCTAGTTCAATGGATGTTTTTTTCCTCGAAACATTCTTCTGCATCTCTTCCTTTGTGCTCAACAAACTTAAACAGGTTTAAAAGAAGTGGAGGGTGAGTACATTTTTAAGTGAACTATCCCTTTTATCTTGTGAGATTAGCAGATTTGGTCTGCTAATCAGACTGTGTATAAAGTAAATAGTAAATAAAGTGTATTAACATAAGAAGAAAGGGTTAAAGTTTACAATAAGATTAAAATGAGTTCACTACATCATGTAGTGGGGACAATTTAACTGTGGCAACATATGGAAGTTCTACTATGGTACAAAAAGATAATCGTAATTTGTAATTGAAGTTGTGAACTCATAATTGTGAGATTCTCAATGTCAATTTTCAAGATGTATTGCTTTATTTCTATAGCACACATTGTATCAAGAGCAGCTTTATAGGAATATAGGTACAATATAAATAAATATACATCTTCGGATTGGCTATAAAAAAAACACAAAAACAAGACCTGATTATAATATGAAGGTAAGTGCTATTAAAATTTGTCAGGAAACAGGAATCATAATGCTCGTATGATGACTGCATAAACCCTTCTAAAGTGTAAAGACATTAATGAGCGCAGTGTAGCTTTAGGGTGGACTTCAATAAATGAAACAGAGATCATAGTGAAACTGCCACCCTGTGAACAGAAATCAATCAGCTGTGTGTGTGTGTGTGTGTGTGTGTGTAAGGAGATTTACCAACATCAATCTGGGTTTACTTTAATTATGCTCAGTCTGTTCCGTAAAGGATTTAGTATGACTTGTGCACAGCTGCCAATACTTTCCAGGGTTTTTTTTTTTTGTATGGTGATCGCAATGTGCATGTAATATATAATAGGCACGTCTTTTTAAAAAATATAATAAAAATAATAAAACCAATGCAAACATTCACAACCATCAAAAACATTTAAGAATGTTATTTAGGGAATTTAAAAATGTATTTTAAACATGTCTAACGAAAAATAGCATTTAAAATATTTAATAATGCTTTGATATTAAAACCTGTTACCCTTTTGGTCATAGAGAGGGACAATATGAAAAGGTCACATGAGACTTCTGTGCTGATTCAATCAAAACAAGCTCAATTCTGCCCTCTATTGGTCGTTATTCAGTCTACTCTAACTTTTTAATTTGAAGTGTCAGTAGTGCATTTATGAAGTATTGGTGAATAAATGTAGACATGATTATCTGAATAATAATATTAACAAAGTCTATATGGTGCAAAACCCAAAACCATTCAGCTTGTTTGTTTATTTTAAGTTGTGCTTTTCTTAGATTCATTCATTACAACCCATATAATGATTTACAGTTTATTTTACAGGAAACGATATGTGGACAGATACATTTAGCTTTTATGGCAAAGTGATGCTTGTAGAAATGCATTTACTATAGTTCAGATCATAGAGTCAATGGCAGAGCAGTGCAGTCACTATACACCACATCAACCAAAGAATACATCCATCTACAAGATTTCCAGTGGTTAAAAAAAAAAAAAAAAACACTCACATATTCAAAGTAGCATTTTCAATCAGATTGAAAGTATCCTGAAAATAATTAATACACATTCTTCAGCCAATGTTCTGTTCTGTTCTGAGTATTTCACCTGGAGTTTCTAAGTTTTTCCCTTCAAGGCTGCATGCGAATGGCTCCATCCAGGCGGATCACCTCACCGTTAATCATAGGGTTTTCTGCTATTGAAGTCACAAGGTGTGCAAACTCAGCTGGATCTCCCAGACGTGACGGGAAGGGCACCTGTCTGGCTAGGAAACTCTGCACTTTCTCTGGTAAACCTGCTAGCAGTGGTGTAGCGAACAGGCCTGTGGGGATAAAACAAGGTCACAAAACACTAAGTTAATGAAGACAAAGTTTGAGCAATCTTCATCTCAGTGTCACTGACCTGGGGCAATAGTGACCACGCGAATGCCCATCGGAGCGAGGTCTCGAGCGATAGGAAGAGTCATTCCTACAATGCCTCCCTTAGAGGCGGAGTATGCAGCTTGACCCACCTTAAAACACACATTACAGAAGCTGTAGTGAAAACTGCTTAATGAAGCTTCTAAGCATTTACAAATGTTTCAGCGGTTTAGAGCACATTCAATTGTAGTTTCAGTAGCGTTTCAATTTGTTTTGAAAATGTTATGATTCTCAACTGGGGCGTCCAGGTAAATACCAAAACATTCACATGATGATTGACTCGGGTCGCCCCCAAGTGGTGAACTAAACAACTTTCAGTGTTTTTTTTTTTTTTTTTAATACAAGAATAAAAACATCACTGCATTAAAGAAAAGATACAACAACAAAGAAATAGGAAAGGAAGAAAAAAAAACTTTATAAAGCCTCAATATTATCATAAGCTTTAAAAAATCGTATTATTTTTATTATTACTAATAAGCTTAAGCGAATCAATATTGTACGAAATTTCAGCAAGGACAGTATTAAATATAGGTATTGTTTTTAGGAACTTATTTTTATGTATAAAACAAAAAAACACAAAAAAAAAATTTACAATAAGATCAAGAGCATCATCATTACCTGAGAAACACAGAAATATATATTTTACAGACAAATTTAAATCATGTTTAAATAAGGACGATGAATAAAAAATAATGCTATTCCAAAGATGTTTAACGTAAGTGCAACTATAGAATAAGTGAATATTGCAGAAAGTACAAAAAATAAAATATATCAAACTAATTCGCAATTTGGTAATAGGCATATGGTGTTAGGCATAAGTGTTTTCCTCTCATTAAAGTAAAGAAAAATTTAAAATAAATCCACATAACTTTGTGACAAACTCTTTATAACACAGATAAAGGATTTGGCTGGCAAATTATACGGAAATTATACAAATTATACAATGTCATAAATTCTTCATATTCCAGAATATTGCCACTATTTTTTTGTGCAAAACAAAAACAATTCCTCTTTCAAACCACATATCAATAAAAAGATATTTCCCACGAATTAAGACATTAGTGTTATTCCAAAAAATGTCTTTGTGTGGTGAAAATTGTGCACGTAATTAATAATTTCCAAGAAAGTAAAGCTTGTTTGTGAAAGTTAGAGAGGGAAACTGGCAATTTAGAAGGGATGAAATTACATTTTAAAAGAAAGTGTAAGCCACCTTAATTTGTCAAATATAATATTGGGAATATAGTAGCAAATTGAGTTATTACTACAGAGACGGGTTCAGTAATTTTTACCTGAACTCGGATCAGTTCTAAGATACATTTGGAATTTAAAAGACTAATAGTGAATAAGACCACAATAGAACAAGCAATATAAGCCCTAAAAATGTTTAAAAATACATATACTTTTTATGATATTTAATGATAAGCTGTTTGTATTTGATAGTTTAAACTTTAAATGAACCATTTACAATGTTTAAATAGGCCCATTTTAAAAGGATGATTTACCCAAAAATCTAATTTACTCTCCCTCATGTAGCCTTTATGGGACTCTTTTCTTTGTTGAACAAAAGAGGAGATAATTTGAATAATGTTTGCTGGTACCCATAGTAGCAAAAGGAAGTACACAAATTACTATGCTAGTCAGTGGGTACCAGCATTTTTCAATATATTATCTTTATAAGTTTTGAGTAAATGGCATTATTGTAATTTTTAGGTTAACTTCTTTAATGCATGTTTGGCTTGAGTTTTTGCTGTATTTGCACAGAATGCTTCAAAATATTTTTAATTGTTATAAAGCTTTGCAAAGCTTAAAGTCTCCCATAGTTGAATATTTGAAGTGCTTATGTTTAAAAGCTCAAGGAGTGCAAATATGCTGATTTGGCAGTCAAGAAAATGACCTGTGAATGTTAGCTTATGTGTGAGTTACCTGGCCATCATAAGCAGCCACACTGGCTGTGTTGACGATGCAGCCTCGGTGTCCATCAGCATCAGGCTCATTCTTTCCCATCTCGCCTACAGCCAGTCTGATTACATTAAATGTCCCAGCGATGTTCACCTTTCATAGTTAAGAATCAAAACAAAATATCATTGTTTATGTTCAGATTTCCTCCTTTACTTCAAGTACTAACACTTTAGGGAAATTCAACCTCACTGTATCAAAAACAAAACAATTACCTTAGGATAGCTAGGGGAACATCGAATTTTCACCCACTGAAAATTATCTACACCATTTAGAGTTCAATGTTCAAAACAGCTCAATATTCAGCTCTGTGGATTTTTCGCTCAGGTACACTTATCAATGCATGAACCACACATGCTCACCAGAAAAACAAAGTCGCTTAAAATATGTTGTGAGTACAGTTTTATTTCGTATACATGTTCATGCTGCTTGCAATAGTGCTATTGTGCTGTCATGGCAACACTGATAAAACGATCTCTTGCAATGTAGATAAAATGTTACTGTCAATTAAATGTGATTTTGTTCTATTGGTGTGTTTTTTAATAAGTATAATTTAATTTATTGAGTTAAATTTGAAAAGTCTTTCAAAATTGCTTTATTACATTTAATCGGACAGACATTGACTGGCTTTGTTTTGTTTTTGATAAATAAATAATGCCAAAATCAGCAGTAGGTGCTAGCAGTTCTGTCATAATCAATTATTTTATTTAATCATTTATTTAAAAAATTTACATGAAACTGCAATTTTTCGTAAAAAAAAAAAATAATAATAATATATATATATATATAAATGAAACAATTCACTGTCTTTATGAATTGATCTTATAATCAACAGATTAATTCAGGAACACTAGGATTAACAAATGTTTTGCTTCTTTTTTTGTTTTAATTCTGCAAATGTTTAATTGCAAAAAAATATATATATATTGAAAATGTTACCTATGCACGATCAGGACTTTGATTTTTGCTTAATAAGTGACAATTACACCCTGTACATCACAAAATGCAAGAGGAATAAAAGTGTTGTTGCATTAAATGTTGTTGCTGTTGATGTTGTTAAATATTGTGCACCCCTTTATGAATATATGAAAGTGGCATAAGAGCTTCAGCTTACAGTACTGTAAAAACAGTGAGGTTATTGCATTGAGACTTACAGTAATGACACGTGTGAAGTCCTCTAGACTGTGAGGAAGGTCCTTTTTAAAGTTGTATGTTTTAACAGCCACAGCTATTCCAGCACAGTTCACTGCCAAGTCCACTTTACCATATTTCTCCTTCGCCAAATCAAGAGCCGATCTCACATCTGACTCTGATGTGACCTGAAAAAGTAGCACAAATCAGAAGAGCAAACAACTCATAGTCATCTAAAATAAAAACAAAAGAGAAAATGGAAAACATAAAAAAGTGTTGTTTTATTATTTTACTTTTGACTCACTGAAATCCATTTTTCAGGTCACTTTTTCAGAATTTTTCACACAGCTTTCCTAACCAACTTTAAAAAAATAAACAATCAAAAACTTCCAAAACCGAAAACTTCCTCACCTTTGAGTTATTCTAAACTTTTATGAACTTCTTTCTTCTTTTGAGCACAAAACATGATATTCTGAAGAATATTGAGGGGGGGGGGTTGATGGAGGGAGCAGCCCTTAAGTTAATTTCCATCGCAGGAACATAAAATATTATGGAAGTCAAGGATGGCTTTTTTTTCATCATTCTTTAATATCTCTTTTTTTAATATCTCTTTCTTTTCTTCTTAACAGAAGAAAGAAACTAATCTGCAGGTAAGTGGCCTTCCAGGACCGAACAGCCTGGTATAGACAGTGTTGGACACATTCCTTTAGAAGAGTAATTATATTTACTAATTACATCTCACAAATAGAAACTGAGTAAGTAAGTGAGTTACATAATTATAAAAGTAACTAATTACCAGGGAAAGTAACTATTGTGTTACTTTTAGTAATAAACATTTTAGTAAAAGATTATTTAGTAATAAATATCAATATAAAACATTGATAATACTCTAGCCTACACTATCTGCTTGTTAAGTAGTGACGTGGTGGTGACGTATGAAATACTGATTCCGTGTCCCAGCCGCCACTCATTTGAATTAAGAAAATATTCTTTATGATCACTTTTTATTCAAATCACACATTAAAATAAATTTTATATAAAGTCATAGTGTACACAACAATCTCTGGGCTTGCTGCATCACAAATACCAACATTTTAACAATTTATAAACAAATTAATCCCTTTCTGGCCATCATATATTAGGCATGGACATATATATTGCGATCGTGATTTTCAAAAGAATTACATTGCTTTGTCTCCTCATACAGTTTGATAGAGCACTTGGACCTAGAAGCCGCTTCGCGTGACGTCCCACTTAACAAGTGGATTTTAAAGTTGTTGTGGGAAAATGTGAGAGATAACCATCAAATTTAACATATTATTATAAATATTAAAAAAAGGGAAAAGTTGTGCTTATATTTCCAGTTTGCAAACGCTATCTTTGAATTTGTTGAATTTTCCATTGTTCTGACTCCTGGTCGTTGGTGTGTGCGCCTGTGCTTGTGTGTGAACACCCTCACTACTCTACGTCTGATTAGCAAACGATGGAGGTGTACTCTAAGCCAATCCTTATGTCCTCAGTTACACCACATTCACAGACACACCGATCATCATCACTGGTTGGTTATGTGTCTCACCCCAGCCTTGAACACACACACACCCCAGAGAAAGAGATGTCCCATGGCTAAGAGATGCTGCTTGCATGAAAACCGCTTCTGTGTTCTCAATTACATTTTATAGTCATTAACTGCAATGGCGTTGAAATGGGAGAAACGGTAATTCATTTGATTATTCGTTAATGACAAAAAAAGTATCACCATTAGTAATGTTGTTTATTTATAGTGCTGTTATTCCCATCACTGGGTATAGACCAGTGGTTCCCAACCTTTTTCTTTGGGGCCCCCCCCATGAACATATACAAACATTGGAGCCCCCCCACCATATAAATACACACGCACGCACATACATATGTACTGTGTGTGTGTGTGTGTGTGTATATATATATATATATATATATATATATGTATATATATATATGTGTGTGTGTGTGTGTGTGTGTGTGTGTTTGTGTTTGTGTAATATTAATATATAGTAATATGTATAGAAAATATTAATTAATCAGTTTTAACTTGTCTTGGCCTTCAACAAAACCAAAATTTAGGTAGGCTTTGTCATACTGTCTAATCTTTTTCTTCGCCTCTGAAGAATCACTGCATTTACGTTTGTCTGCCATTTTTGTTTTGATTTTGCCTTTACGACACGTTGACAAGCAGATTGCACGAGTGAGCAAAATTTAAATAATTATTTAAAGTTATTTATTTTAATTATTTTCACAATTATGTTGGAATTTTAAGCATGCGTTTAGATTTTTATTTATTTTTTTGGTACTTAAAAATACATATATAATAGTAGGGCTGCTCGATTTTGGGAAAAATCATAATCACGATTATTTTGGTCATAATTGTAATCACGATTATTCAAAACCATTGCCAGTTAAAGTCAAAATTATTAGCGCTCCTGAGATTTTTTTTTTTTAATAAATATTTCCCAAATTATGTTTAACAGAGCAAGGAATTTTAACAGTATTTCCTATAATATTTTTTCTTCTATTTGTTTTATTTTAGCTAGAATAAAGAAAGGTTTAATATTTTGAAACCAATTTAAGGTCAATATTATTAGCCCCCTTAAGCAATATATATTTTTGATTGTCTGCAGAATAAACTACCGTTATAATGACTTGCCTTATTACTCTAATTAAGCCTTTGAACTGCACTTTAATCTGAATGCTTGTAATTTGAAAAATATCTAGTAAAATATTATGTGCTGTCATTATAGCAAAGACAAAAAGAAATCAGTAATTAGAAATGAGATATCAAAACTATTATGTTCAGAAATAAGTTAATAAAATATTCTTTCCATGAAACAGAAATTGGGCAGGAAAAGGTTTGCTAATATTCAAGAGGGCTAATAATTCTGACTTCAACTGTATACATACAGTTATTTTCCACCCTGCAAAGGAAAGAGAAATAAATACAATAGAATAAAAATATAAAACAAACTGTTTTTTAAGCATGTTCACTGTAAGAAAAACACTTTAGCTACAGCAGTCCTTCAGTCAAGAGCAGCGAGGGTTTTCTCGTTGTGTTTGTTTAATAATGATAAAAACAGGCGGCAGAAGGATTATAGCGCACTGTCTCTTTAATGGTTTCTCTTTCACGTCTTTTGATCCTCAACTCGTTTGATTATAACACAAATGAGGGTTAATGTACATAATCATTAAACACCGCGTTTTGACACCTATTTGACCATTAAAGCGCTCACGTTAAGATGACTTTAGATGTCTGCGCTCCTCTGCTCGTCTCAGTGTGTGAATGAGAGTGAATGCTGACCGGCCGCATGCTTCTGACTGCGTGATCGTGCTGCACACACACATAAGCTTTTTCGCGCTTTTAAGAGCCATTTAAGAGCGTGTACAACTGGAACGTGGCAAAATATGATGCAATAATCATTTATCTCGATTAATGCTTTTTTATAATCGTTTGAAACCGAAATTTAAATCGGATATTCGATTAATTGCAAAGCCCTTTATAATAGTGGAGCATTTTTATGCCCTTTTCTACCTCAATACTTATCCTCTCCCGCGCCCCCCCTGTGAACTCTGGCGCCCCCCTTAGGGGGGCGCGGACCCCAGGTTGGGAACCACTGGTATAGACAATAGTGGAACTAAATAACTAAATCCTATGAAGATTTTCAGCTAAACCTATTTTCTTGACTGTTTTACCTTAATTTTTTAAATGTATGATAGAAGCATCTATTTAAACAGTTTTGGTAGCTTTGTTTAGCAGGAAAACAATTGATGCAGTTGAAAGATGTACTCATGAAATTAATTCTGTATCAAAGCAGTGAAATATAATCCAACATTTAGCACAGAGACGAGATGAAGAGTTTTAAAATCTGACTTATTACGCTATCAACATGTTTTCAATAATTAGGTGTCACTCACATCAGTTGGTGCAAATGCACATCTGTCCCCGAGAGCAGCGGCCACCTTGTGTCCATCTGAACTGGGCAGGTCCAGGATCACAGCACTGGCCCCATGCTTGATGAGACGCTCCACTGTAGCTCTACCCAAACCAGAGGCCCCTCCAGTCACCAAGCCCACCATACCCTATCAAATCACACACCAAGTTCAAATACAAACAAATACTTAAACATATTATTCTTTGCAGTAAACATCCAACCAAAGATGTTAAAGTCATGTTATATGTTTGGAAACATTCTTTTAAGCCTAAATTATGCAGCGTGTTGGTTTATTTCCTATACAACCAATTTGGAAAATGAATCTTCTGGTTGTATTCCAATATTAAAATGCCAATTAGTGCTCAAATTTGTTAAAGACTCCCAGACTAAACATTTTTACACATGAATTGACCTCCAATCAGGCAGGCATTCACAGCTACCGACAAGACTTTGTGTGATGCTTAAGCACTGGTCATGTATTTAAAGTCTTTTTGAATAAGATGATGTTTTAATTGATAAGATTACAATAATTATGCAAAAATGTTTGTTCCAAATAGTAAAAAAAATCATGATCTGTATAACACCTTCGCCTCGTTTTGAGCCGGGAAAAAAAACTGAACATATATAACAATCTCTTTTTCTTTGTCCACAGAAATAATGAAAACATATTTGGAGAAACAACCCACTAACAGTCATGAACTGGCCTAAACGGAGTCCAAACCTGAATATTATAGAGACAGTATTGTATAACCTGGAAGATGAATATATGACGCCTAAATCCAAACATGAACTTGAGCGAGTGCTACACGTTGTATTTAGCGCCAAGGAAAATCACACTAAATAATGCCTTTTACTAAACAAAAATTGTGTTCTGGAAATTGCAGTTGCAAACTGATTTCCTGCACTTGACATATTTATGAATATTAAAATGGCTGGTCATTAAAACTTTGCAAAACCAAACAAAGTTGGCTGTGGCAGCTTAAGACTTCTGTGTAAAGGATACAAATCCTCAAACAACAAATCTAACGGTGGCTTAAGACTTTTTTACGTATATAAATAAGTTTGCAAAGCAGAAACTTAATGGTGCTGTATAACTCAAGGACAAGAGTTACATAACCTGCATAGAGATTGATGCTTCATTGTATACTCCAAACACAGTGCAGTCATACTTCAACTGAAGTGTGACACAAAACAACGAGATCTGAGCAACGAATGAGGACTCTGCTAGGATTTAATAAAAATAAGGCTAGATAAGCTTCAATGTTCTGGTGTTTACCTGTCTATCACTCTAACTCTTAAGTGCACTCCACTCAACTTGTTAGCTTTTCAGCTATAACTTCAGATTAACATAAACAAATACGAAATATAAACACATGACGGTGTTATAATAATAAGGGCAGCAAGGCAACTTAAAAAATGTTAAGTATAGTTCATAGTACTTTGCGTACAGTACATTTCTATAAATTCATTCATTTGCTTTCTCACCTTGACACTTCTGATGTTCGCCATTTTCACACGCACGCTGCAGCTGCTTGGGTACCAGCAGTGGCGTCACTATGCGCCGTAGGAGCGTCTCCAGCCAATCAGAAATACCGAGTGACAACGCCTTTTAAAGCGATTGGCTGACGTTCATTTGATTGACAGCTTCACAGGAAGTCTCGCGCTGTAGTCCATTCAGAATTCTAAATCTGTTTTTAAGGCTCTAAGGCTCTGTAATAAACTACATTTAATCCCAATTTGTTAACGGCAGCCTGTAGACTAATATTATTTTACATATTCAATACATATTCATATGAGCCATATAATTTAGGCATGTTAAAAACGAAATCAATCTAGTAAAAATGAACAGTGAAACTGAAATGAAGAGATAACAGTGTCACAAATGTCCAGACTGACAAACCACCACAAAAATTAACCATTATGGTAAAAGTGTAGTAAACATGTATAACCAGTTTTATATGGCTTAATTTACGGTTAATTTGCAGTTACCATGATTTAACTTCAATTATGTTTTTAAAAACTAGTTGGTAGTAAAAAATATTTTAATAAATATGGTTAATTTTATTTAGGCCATCAAATCTAGTAACTTATTACAGCATATTAGGTATTAGTGTAAACCAAAATCTGAACTCCTTTTAAAGAGATGGTTCAACCAAACCTGCAGCTGGAAGGGCATCCGCTGTGTAAAACATAAGCTGGAATAGTTGGCGGTTCATTCATCTGTGGCGACCCCTGGTAAATAAGGGACTAAGCCGAAAGAAAATTAATAAATGAGTTTACCCAAACCCGAAAATTCTGCCATCATTTACTCACGCTTTACTTGTCACAGTGTTTGGGTTTCATTCTTCTTTTGAACCAAAAGAAGATAAAAGCAGAAATATATATATTTTTCCACTGAGGATGTCAATTGTTTCTAATATCAGTTAAAACATTATCATTTGTGCCCACTTGAGGGTGAGTACATTTTCATGTTTTGTTGAACAATCCTTTTATCCATCAACTAAAGACGAGTCATGAATACGAGTTCTGACATCAATGTTTTATTTATTAAACTTTAGTTCACAATGTCTCTACAATTTGTACTCTTAGAAAGAACACACAGTACAAAGATGCACAAATTCAGCTCTCCACAAAAGCCCTGTCTGTGCCAAGGTCCGTCATTGGAGGGTCTGATGTGAAGGAGCAGCTGTGAGAAAGACAGTAGGCTGTATAGTTATCTCCCAGATCTGGTGTGATCCCAAACTATACAAACTACTACCTCATTCCACAGCCCCCAATGCCTGCTACCCTGCAAGAGGAGACAAGAGGCAAACAGACGTGTCAGCAGCAGCAGCACCATAAACATGTTTGCTTGTTTGTGCTATTTTTATTCAAAATATAATGAACCACCCTTGCAATTGCTAATTTGATTTTCATAAATCCCACAGTGAAAGGCTGTCGTCATCATCCTTTAACCCAGTATTAACCTTGATCAAACATCCACGCCACAGAGTGTGGGCAGGTTTCTGGCAATGCATCTCATCTTTTGAAATATGAGTCATGATATACCACCAACAACAAAGAGATGGATGAGGATCTGCTGCTTTGCAGTGTTTGATGTAATAAATGTATTGCCGTTTTAGGATCAGTGAAAAGCTTAGAAAGCGATGGTGAAATAAACATGACCACTTTTTATTAAATAGTGATTTATGATAAAGTACATGTCTTACAGCAGAAGTATATGTCACAGAGTTCTCTGAATCACTACAACCCTGCATTATACAGTGAAGTAAAGATGATACGAGAATAGGCATGGGATCATAACCATTTTCAAGGTATATCACAGTTTGGAAAATTAAAGGTAAAGGAATATTTCTTGTGTGGTTAATTATAGTGTATTAAAACAAAAATGAGATTTTGAACTATTGGGTTTTTAACAATTGAGTGGTCGTCTAACTATTGACGTAATGTGATTGACTGTGGGATAAAAGGGTGGAGTGATAGGATTGTTACGCATTGAGCCGAAATGTTTTGTATATAATACAAATGTCAAATAAAGCAATAAAGTAATTATTTAATACGTTTGAATATTGACCTTCTGAATAATATTATTAGCTAGATTAACACACAAAAAAATTTAAAAGCCACGAGTGCCCAGTGCTAACTTCTTACTAAGGTTTTAAAACCGCCAGAATCTTCTGCTATAGCGTATGTACTGTATATATACAGTATGTGTGAGATATTTTTTATTTACGCTTTTTTGTTTAGTTTTTTAGGACAAGGGTATCTCCAGCAGAACAGATATCCAAAAACACCATTTAAAATTGTAAAGAAATCTGTGTTTTTAAAACTATTAAAGACAGCAGAAGTCAAAGATTCATTTGAATTATTTAGCCTGACATGTTTACTGCTACAAAATATTACAAATGTTTCTCAAAATAAAATATTTGATGTTAAGGGAGGGAAAAGTTGTTGTTTTTTTTACCCATACATTTAAACAGAGCATATTTTAGAGCAGTCATCAAAATACTGTGAAACCGTGATGTTTTGATCCAGGGTTATCATGGCGTTAAAATCTTATACCCGCCAGTGCCCTAGCGAGAAAGGTGTAGCTGTATCTAGATCTATTAGGGTCCTTGAGTGATATTAAATGAAAAGTTCATTCACAAAAATAATATTTACTATTAAATTACTCTTTTTGGGTCATTCAAGATGTGCTTGACTTTGTCTTATAAGTTGAACCTTGAAGATTAATTTTATCCAAAGCTGTGGTTCTTGGTGATTTAAAAAATGTAAATCAACGGCTACTCGCACTTTGACAAATAAAAAAAAAAGAAAATGAACACGCTCCTTATTTTACACTGAGGTCCTGTAAAGGGAAATGATTCATCCATTTCAGAAACTGAACATTTTTACTAAACGTGTGTATTGTCAGCAGTCTGGAGCTTCATAAAAGACCACCACACAATGTTGAATTTTATAAATCACCACAGTTTTAGTTAATGACTTCTTTTTGTGCATGCTACAACAACAGTGAGGCTTACAATACCATAATACAATAGCTCCTTTGCAAAACTGTATACGTACAAAAATACATTGAGAAATGTACTGTAGCCAAAATTTAAATGTTTAAAACCCATCCTGACTGGAAGATGGCTGGTATAGTAGGTATAAAACATGCTGGTTTCCAGACTTGTCCTGGTCTACTGGTTTTCAGCTTTTGACAAGCTAAAATATCAAGCTTCCATGCTCCTCGCATACTATCATCACTACATGAGCAGATTTCTGTAGAGCAAGACTTATTTCTGTCTCGAAACAATCTGAGGGAGGTGATGATGACTGTCCACATGGTTAGTTATTATGGTAAACCCTCCATAGGTTATCAACTCAGTACTTCTGTCTCCGGAATCAACAGCTGTAAGAGGCTTGATATTACTTGTTAATCTGACGTCTTTCTGTCGAACTGTAGCCTGTCTTGCTATTAGATTAACTTTATCATGACATGCAAAAACGCGAAAGATTATCAAGTGTAAATGGAGAAATGGCACCTTAATAAATCACACTGACACCATCGTATCGAGACTGACCTGCTGCTTGAAAGGGAAGATTTAGCATGAGAAAATGTAAAACTGCACACATCATTTATAATCCTTTGCTTTTCTCATGGCATTATAATAATCATATACGCTTCATAATATATTTATTTTATCAAATACAAAAATGGCGGTTGGTTTACCCGGATTGATAATCAATTAACGCGTTTAAAAATAAGCCACGTTATTATATTAAAAGTAAATTACTCTATATTGGTAAAAGATCCAAGGCAAATGCAGTTAGCGTTCGCGGCAATGTCGTATAAGAGAAGGGTCGTGGTTTTCGCTCACCTGAGACCGCGACTGTACACGATACCGCCATCTTACATGAGCAGTCCGAATGGAGATACAGTGTCTGCAGGCGCGCAGATCTGCCTCAGAGGTGATCTGCCCACTGCGTGAGTGATCCGACCCGCCTTCATTTCACTTCACCGCTGGATGATATCACCAACCACAAAGTCTAAAAATAATAGCCTTGTGGTTGTCAAATCCGAAACGAGAAAACTTTAAAAGTGTTTTTCTTAGGACATTTTGAGAACAAAGTTTCACTTCAGAATTTGAAATAGGTAATTTTACGTCAAGTTCAGCTTAGACTAATTTCTATTGATTAATGTTGGAGTGTCATTCATTTTCCTTCAGCTTAGTCCCTTATTTATCAGGGCTCGCCACAGTGGAATAACCCACCAATTATTCCAACCTATGCTTTACACGGTAAATGCCCTTCCTACTAAAAACACCCATACACACATTTACACACACACAAACAATAAGGCCAATTTTGTTTAACCAATTCACCTATATAGTGCATGTCTTTGGATTGTGGAAGCACCTGGAGGAAACCCACATAAAAAAAATAAAAAAAACAGAACATGCAAACTCCACACAGAAATGCCAACCGGCCCAGTCAGGACTCAAACCAGTGACCTTCTTGCTATGAGGTGACTGTTAACCACTGAGCCACCATGTTAGAGTGTTATAAATGGTATTTTGCTATACACTGAAACTACCTACAAATTTAATCATTAACAAATTTGGTTCCCTTTTTTTTTTAGATGCCACAAATCCCAAATATGATTATCTTCAAGAAGAACCAATCCTAAAATAATAATAATAATAAAAATAAAAAACATTTTATGTTTACATAAATTACAATAAATTACAAATAAATATAAATGGTTGTCCAAGTGTTCTTTATTGTACTGTATAGTAGCATCTAGTAAATGTTTTTACTACCAATTTAGACATTTGGATTATTTTGTAATGATTAACTATGTATTCTAGGTCTGCTCCGATAGATCGGCCGGAGATCGGTTTCAGCCAATAATCACATTGTAGGACTCGATCGGTACTTGCTAATCGGGCTGATCACACAAACCGATGGCAAGCGCTCATTTACTGGTTTACAAGCATAGGAAGATGCATTTTAACTTCGTATGCATCAAATATACACTCTAAACTTTATCTTCATTAATGCATGTTGAATTCTTCTTCCATCATTTGCAATGTTTCCAAATTGCATTGTTAGTCATTTTTCTTACCACATTTTTTTGTTTTATGTATTATTTTCTGTAAAGCTGCTTCTGACCATGACGTGTCCACACTAAATGGTTATAAGAGATGTGTTTAAGAGATTATATGCAACATCCTTTATTCTCTTAGGAAAGGAGAGATCCTTAAGTATCATACTGAGAGGGAAAATGTGCTTCAAGTTTTATTAAGTTTGACGCATTAGAATCAATGCTCTATCAGCTGATCACCATGATTAGGAACCGACAGTCTGCATCAGCTCCAAAAATCCTGGTCGGAGCATCCCTAGTTTATTCATTTTGTTTAATTCATACCATATCTGTTCATTTTAAGATTGTTTTAACTTTACTTTTTTTTTTAAACATGCACTTTATGCAAAATGTATCTCTCCAGTTTGTAATTCCCTGGCCTCAATTTGAAGAACATTTCAATAGTCTAATGAAAGTTTTCCCCACTCTAAACAATGTTTAGTGGCATGTAGAGGGGTTCCTTAGATGTTAAATGTTTTTCACAAAACAACATATACCAATTAAAAAAAGCTAACAAACAAAAACATTGCTGAACAATGGCATTTTCCATCTTTTAGTGCAGAAAATAAAAATGCCAACTCCAATTTACTAAAAGAATAAATTTTATTTCAGCACTGTAAGTCATTTCCCAACCATACAAACATGACTGCCAACTTTATCTCTCTTTCTTTCTCTCTCTCTCTCTCTCTCTCTCTCTCTGAGCCTTATGGGCTTTTTCTCCCCAATCCATTGTGAAATCAGACCACAACAGCAAGACAAATTAAAAAGAAAAAGTTTCTTTCCAAAACAATCAGGTGCTTTCTTTTATACTAAAATGAGAAATTGTTAATAACGATCATAACCATAACAGCAATAATAATAATGAACTTTACCCTTCACTTCACAAGTTTTTTTGGAGCTTTTGGAGATCTTGATGCATGCATCAATGCGTTTGTGTTGATGAGCGGATCAGTTTTCCAAGAACAGACGACAGAATGTGTTGCCTACAAATGGATTTGTCTGAACACCATGGTTTTTATAGGAACATGCTTGAAAAGCAAAGGGGGTGAGATATAAACGCTAGTACATATTTCCAGAAAATGTAGGATGTCAGCGGGCCACTGTACACAACACATTGCTGTTATCAGACTAGGACTGAAACCTGACCACAGCGTTGGTGGTCCTGTGGAGTGAAGGGCTAAAGAGCCAGGATACAGGGGGAACAGTTATAAAGCAAGAGTCAGATCGGAGGTCCAGACACAAATCTACAGGAATGCACAGGCAAAACTCTTTACCAAAATAGCTGTGGCGTGTGTGCGTATGTGTGTGTGTTTGCGCACGCATGGTTACAGTATGTGTTCACACTTAACCTATCCATGACTACATTGAAGCTACGTTTCTCAGAGGGACAATACATGTGCATGGGAGCTGAAGAAGGGTTCTAGGGTTATTCGCTATGAAGAGCTGCGTCCAAGGCTCCAATTGAGAGGATAAAAACAAAAACATAGGAAATCTTCATTTTAGCAATGAAACTGGACGATACAAGATTTAGCCACGGTTCACCAAAAAGATGTAAACATCACATTTTCTTCATTTAGCATCTGATTACGGACCCCTTACGTATTCTAATATCTCAATTACTCAAAACACGTAGCTGTAGAATCATATATACAGGATCCCGAAAGAGAAAATCAAGACTGTTGACTATATACTGGAAAGGAAGCTTCCAGAAATTTACTTTGGTTGAAAATTAATATGTCGCACAGATGTATATTAGTCGGCTTTGTGTGCAAGGAAGCAAATTAGATTTGCTCAAAGTGATTTGACGAAACAAAAAAGACGATCTATATAATGGGTTATTTCTGTGACAATTACATCATCAAGGTGAAGTGGTTTGAAACGATACCATACAAGATAGGTGAGGAAAATTGCAATCATTACAGTTGAAAAAGATCTAGTTATCTCCGCTAAGCAAATTGTAATACTAAATGTAGCAACGGTCAAAGGAGTAGCTGTTGTAATAACAATTTTAAAGTAGTAAGTAAAAACACAATTTCACGACTGAATGAAACCAAAGATGGTAAATTTCTCTGTTCGCTGTTGAAAATGTTACCAACTCTCATCTAAGATTTCTTACACACAGATTATCAGACTAACTATAAAAATCTCCCACTGTTAGTATAAACATGTAAGGGGAGACGCTGAAGGGAAAACGAAGGCAAGAATTCTTCAACAAAAAAAAAAAATGAGACAAAAGTTGAGGGAGAAGGTTTGAATTGTGACTGATAAACCAATGAAAACGAAAGAAAGGGAAAACGTGTGATAATCCATACTTGTGCAAAATAAAATTCAAAATTCAAATCCAACATCTGGAGATCCAGAAGCATCTAGAGCACGTGCGCTGACCTCCAGAGCATCCTTCTTGTTCATACAAATATCATCCATAGATATTCTTTAATCTATATTTTACTCATTTGATTTTCCATAAATGTATGAGATTTTCAAGCAGCAGTCTAGAACAGAGCAAAGCAGAGAAGCTTTGGAGAGGGTAACTTTGGAACCAAGCATCTGAAACAGCAAATTAAGTATCCAAATAATTATAAGAGAAATGAACACTCTGGACAACACTAATATCTGAAGAATATGCAAACATTTTTTTTTTTATCTCCCTCATACTAACTGATGTCTCTCTACAGGTATAACAAAGGTACTGTGTTTATGTGTGAGAGAGAGAGATTATATCGTTATTTGGTGTCTGTATATTTCGGTTTACGCTGTTCCATTCTTAGATTATACTTAAAACTAAATGTGAAGGAGTTACTGATACTCTATGACAAACACACTGAGAAAAAAAAAACTAACTGAAACGGCTGTTAATCACAGATAAAACAGGACTGAATGTATTAAAAGGATCTAGTTATTCTGAATAAACCAAAATTCCATTAATGGGTTGTGTGTGTGCGTGTGTGTGTGTATATGCATGTTCATATGCACTAACATGCTGGAGATCCTCTCTCAAAAACTAGCACTACTGTACTTAACTTGTAATAAAATGTGACAACCTAAGGTTGAGGTTTAAAATGCTCTAGCGCGCATGACGGCGTAGTGTATTAGTTCACCAATACTACCAGTCACGCTATGGTCAAGATTCTTCTTGGTTTAAAGTCTGTCCGGTATGTCCAGTATTGTCACGTATTCTGATAAATCACTGTCATTTTGTTTGTCCGTAGCAAACTGCATTCGTAATGCATGCTTCAGGTCATTGCGATATTTCTGACGGGGTGATCTGTCTGGATTCCTCAAGAGTGAGAATCTGCAGAATATACATAGACACGCAACTATAATGGGTGTCTGATTTAAAGAGCTTTCGATATACTTTTAGTGGCACTAAATATAATATTAACTTCTTAACAAAATAAGGTGCATCTTAACTTCAATAGAAAGCTGTGATGTAATCTTGACATTGTCAATTGTACAGATTTTTAAACTATGATAATTAAATGCGATATCCTCTCTTAAGTGTATTAGTTCTATTTAAATTCTCATTCATTACGTCCAACAAATCATTGGTACAAAACATGTATTTTGTTTTTAAAATGGACTTAAAACATTAACATGTGAGTAAAATTAATCCTAACCATCTGATGCCAAATGGTCATTAGAAGAGCAAGAGCGGCTTTAATCATCCAGGTGTTTTCGCTGGGGTTCGACTTTAAAGCCCAATCGCCTCAACTATCTCGAATACAGAAGTGCATGAGTTCATAGGACTGTCACGAAAACAAGACGAGACGGACAGATCACGAAACAGTCTGGAGAATCACAGACTCCGTTTTTTTGCTTTTTTTTTTTTTAGCTTTTTTAAATGACTTTGTCACAATAAAAGGTGATCCTAAGGTTTGTTCAGTAATTACTTTTGAGTGTAACAAAACTGCAATGATTTTAGCGATGGCGGGAGAATGCACATGTACAAAAAAAAAGCATCCACATGGTACACATGCACAAGGCACAGAGGAGACGCGAACAGCGAGAGGATAAAAACCCCAAACTGAAACGTGAAGCTGAGAGATGTCAAACGGCAGGTTTGTCTGAGGGACTGTGTGCATTCTCGATCCACTGATAAAATCACTTCCCTAAATCACGTCATCGCGGAACAGGATCATGTACATTTGGGGTCTATATACAAACAGCTGGGATGTCGAACAGTATCACGGTTCCTTCTGAACACACTGCTTCCTCCCTAACTCTGGCAGAGGCTTTGATTCATTTAATTTTCAATTGTTTTTTAATTTATCCTAGTTCGAGGACAACCCAGTGTGTTTTTTACGGTTTTAAAACAAAGTGCAGATTACCACACACTTTGTTCTCACATTCATTTGGTGTTGATTTGTACGTCATACTGTTAAACAACACGCAAGGTAAATAAGTTCATCCGGACAGTTAAACTGTCTAAAGGAATGACGGTCTGCTGCTCATTAAAAGGAAGTTAATCAATTAACCCAATTATCGTCTCTATGTAGCGCAGTACTATCATAAATAACATTGTAAGTGCTTTATGTTAAAATACAATCAATTTTGGGGGGTTCTTCTTCCTCACGTGGAGGGGAAAACTTGCATATGTATCATTTTGGGCTTAAGGTGCTTTAAAAATAAACATGATAGCTATTTTAGTAGCTTACGTACTGCTAATACTCAATTGGGGCTTGGGCCAAAAATAAATAGATTGTCTACATGTGAGATAAAGCAACAGGGGTTGAGCTAGCTATGCAATGCTGAGTGTAACCCGTACCACTCTTTCCATTCCTTTTACTCAAACCTGGACTTCTGGGCCACCTGTGGCCCCTGTGCTGAAGCCACTTACTTCTCCACATGCAAATCACTCTGATAAGATATCTAAAAACAAAGAAAAATAAGAACTACCATGTGTGTGTGAATGCACACTGTGACATACAAATACAACCCACGTTCTCCATCGGTTTCCACCCGTCTACTGAATTCAGGGCAGTGTTGACATGAATCCTCACCTGTGTCTTACAACCAGGTGTAATGGTGGTGGAAACTTTAGAACAGGTGCTGCTGTGCAACTCGGACACGGTGTGTAAGTGCTTCGAATAGGTTCATTTGTAAATATACTTTGGGCAATAAGGGGCTTTTGGTAGCCATTTTAGGCAATCATACATATAAGGTCACCGTAGGTCTAAAAAGAAAAACGGTGTGAAAATAAAGAAGGCTCGAGAGCTTTTCACGATGCTACAACACTGATGGCCCAGTGGAAAGGATGAGGTCCAGAATCCGAAGATTCAGGGCGATGTGCAATCGAGGGTTGTGATTTAAACTTGCTCAGTTTGAAACCAGACCCGGCTCTCATTCCTGACACTGTCCATCTGACGCTTCCAGCATGTGCAGCATCATAAATTATACCATGACAACACAAAGTGGCTACTGTGCCCTAAAGATTCAATTTTGCAAGGAAAAAAAGGCAGTCGACCTTAGATCATTCCCTCTCACTCTCTCATTCTTATTACATTATGGGATGTAATTATTCCTCTTTCTGTAGTGCACCATCTGATGGGCAGTCGTCAAGGCAACAAGGGGCCTCTACCTCTACCCCATCTCCTGACTGGTTGTCTCTGCTGGCTAAGGCACACTGGATTGGCTGGGCCAGTGGTGGCAGGTCAAGAGCTTGACCAGTGGCGCTTCCTGATGAGCTGCCATTCAGCTGCTGTGACGCAGGCCCCGTTCCCTCCGCGGGCCGCCCCACTGATTTAGTGTCCTCCATCAGCTTTGGGGGGCTGGATGAGGGAGGTGAAGAGGATAGGGTCTACAAGAAACATTGAGAGAAAAATAGAGAAAAATCTATATCTTCACTTAAGAATGTACTTACAAAGAAAAGTCATGCATCAGGCTGACCTGTGTTCTGTTGGTGATCACTTTCTTCCCTCCCCTTCCTTTCACTGTCAAGTCTTTACCCCTACTGAGAAAAGGAAACATGAGAAGTTAAAAAAATAAGAGTGGTTGCATAATACTACATGAAAAATACAACTGCCAAAATGCACCAACAATGCGCAATACTTTCATTTCAAATTGGGATTATCTGCTTTTGAAGCCTTTAGTCAACAGTTCACACTCAAAAAATGTTGTGTGACGGCCTCCATACAGTCACAGCTACACATCTCTGAGCAAACACAGCCATGTTTTGTTGAATAATCAATCGATTGCAGAAAAAAATTGAGCAAGCCGGTTATTCAAAGGTCCATTCATAAAGACATCACATCATCAATCCATCAATCCACCATTCAACTATCTGAATCTATTATTTAGCTACAGTAGCTTGATATTAACTATTGGCAGTTTTTGTTTCTTATATTTTAAAGTATAAATCAGTAGTCCTCAATCACCAGGCCGTGGACTGGTACCGGTCCTTGGATCAATTGGTACCTGGCCGCACAAGAAAACATAAATTATTTCCATTTTATTTATTATCTGAGACTGAACGATCTTTTATTTTGATAAGTCTTTTATTTTGAAAAAATGTATTCTTGGTTACATCTTGGTCACTTGAGTGTCTAAATTTAACCCACAAACAGCAAAATGAGTGACAAACGGACATCTTTGGAAAGTTTCTTTGTTAAGAAGAAAAGGTCCAGTGAAAGACCAGGGATCTGCCAAGGTATAGTTCTGCAAACGATTTGTCAACAAATAAAGTGAGTTCAGCTAGAAGAAAATCAACTTTTGGAGATCGCAAATGATAGTGGCCTTTTAGGGGTCGTTCGCATATCGTGTCTTTTCTAGAGTTTGCACAAGCTTGTTGTTTCTAATAGAGGAAACAGACCAGACCAGATGCACACAGTTGAATAAATCCGGCGAGCGCACCACGAGTGATGTGACAAGAACTGAACAATCAGCTTTAGTTTTTATGGAATATACACATTTCGGTAAGACTAATTATCCCAGACAAACACTGAACACCCAAACACTGCAGTACTTTGTAGATTTGTCCATAAATGAAGCTTGTATCAGAGTGACAGAAATGTTTTGTCAGCTTATCATCCTCTGAGAAAACGGTTGACAGTCGGCTAGCAACCTACAGCCTACAAACCCCCCAAGGGTTTTCCAAGCATTGACTGGTCCGCTGTGGTAATAAGGTTGTGGACCACTGGTATAAATCATTTAAATAATCGATTTAATATTTCAATATTCAAAACTTCCTATGAAATTTGACATCAAAAGCCATCTTTAAAATGTACCCATGTTTGATTAGTCAATTTTTTGAATGAAAACACTGATTTAAGTCATATTTCTTCCAAATAAATTAAATAATACCTGGTATGCACTGTATTTATGATCTTTGTAACAGCTCAAATTTAGCTCATTATATTTTGCATTGCAGAGAAAATATTATATTGTAACATTTAGCAAATATTAAACTACATATTTACTAGACACATTGCAGAGTTTGATATTACTACAATTTTCTATGGGAGAAAACTACATCTGAAAGTCAAAGCACTAATATTTTAGTGGAAATACAGTGCAGTCAGCCTGAATAGTTTGCTGAACATGATTTCGACCTACTACTGGTATTCTCCACCAGCAGGTGGTGCAATCAAGAGTTAATATTGACAAATGGAAAACAAAAACATTTGTAGTGAAGCGCATTCCATACCTCCAAAAATAAGTTTTAAGTGTTTTAAGACTGAATAAACTCACCCTTTCCCTCCTACTGACACCACCTGCATGTTGAACCCCCCTTTGCCACGAATTGGCTTGTTTCCAGCCCACTGACCAACAACCATGCCAGCTATTTCCAGTTTGCCGCCCTGGGGAGGTATAGACTGGATTCCTAAAGGAGAGAGCAAAAACACTAAGCAACACTGAAAGTGCAGTAAAGAAACTGAACTAAATGTACTAAACAACAGAACTGTCTAACCTGGAAAGGCCCTGGGTCGGTGCTGGTGGTGATGGTGAGGGGGAGGAGGAGGCATAGAGCCCAATGGGCGAGGAGGGTACAGAGGATGCATGGGGTAGAAAGGTGGCACCATAGCAGGTGGGAGGAATGCAGGGGGTGGCAGTGGTGGAGGTGGAGGTGGTGGCCGGGACAGGTTGATGCCTTCCAGAATGGCCTGACGCATCTTCTCCACCCTTGAAACCAGTTCCTCCTTTAGGGACAGAGTTTCAAAAATATAAAAAATTCCGAAAACACGTAAATATTACAGTAAATATTACATTATTAATAGTATTTCCAGAATGATTGGTCACCAATGACTACCATTTCTGGTTAATGGTCAACATTGACTTCCATTGCATTTTTCCTATTATAGAAGTTAATAGTGACCATCAATACCAGCATTTTTCAAAATATCTTCTTTTGTGAGAGAACTCAGGTTTAGAACAAGTGGTGGTTGAGTAAATAATGAAAGAATGTTCTTTCTGAAAGTGAACTGCTCCTTTAAACACTTACCTGGCCTTCACACATATCAAGTAAGGAGGCTCTGTCTCTGGTGGCTTTAGCTAGTTTGCTCTGAAACAACTTCCCATCGAAAAATCCCCAAGGGCAGCAGTGGTCCCATGGCAGGGGCTGTCCACAAACATCATTCACAAACAGGGCAGTGTCCACTCCACTCATGAACAAAGAGGCCAGCTGCACCCCACGGTTATCCACCTTCTCCACCTGGTACCAGTGTCATAGAAAAGAAATACGATCAAGCGGCATGTTTGGCGTAAGCCTGGTAAATGTCACACCGGTGTGTCATTTAGTGATTTCACAGAGATCTTTCAAAACAGGTTATTGACAGCCAGACAGTATCCATTGTACAGAAATGTTCTGCCTTGAACCGATTGCTTTATGTGACATACAGTTATTAAACGTTATGCTGAATTACTGAGTCACTCTTTATAACTTAGCCTTGCCTAAAGGCAAAAAACCTGCAATAAAACATTTATTTATTTAAAGAAGAATGCAAGATAGAAAGATAAAGAGTGCATTTGATATGTTTTGTGCAGTGTTCAATTCAATCCGTCCTCCCACTGCTTTAACTGTAATCTGGGTCTGTACAGTTATATAAGAACATGCAAACACATGCAAATGTGCTTTACTCCCAAACCACAGCTCTCCATCCATCTGCTTTAAGTAAATCCACCAAACAAAAAGTAAATATTTAGAAACATGATTCAACATCATGCTGCTTAAATAAAAAGACAGGAATAGCACAAAATAAAACGTGCTTTTATTTAAGCATCATTTGCTTGAATAACGATTCTAAATATATAATTTTTATGATGTGTGTGTCTGTGTGTTCATATATATATAGGGGTGTAACGGTTCAAAACACAAAAATAATGGTTCGGTTCGATAATAATGGTTCGGTGTGTTTTCGATACAGCAAAAAAAGTAAAAAGCCAGAGGATTTCTTTTTTAAATGTATTAAAACTAACATCATAAAGATATGATCTTGTTTTTTTTTTTTTTTTCAATTTCAATTTAAACAGTGATAGAGATATTCTGGGGTTTCTGCTTAGCAGCAAATCAAACAAATCCTTTACACTCAAAACCAAAAAAGCTTTTTATAAAAAAATAAATGTAATATTGTAGTATTTAAACAAATAAAAATAAAAGAACTATTTAGTTTTTATATGAAACTCTGTTTTAATAAATTTTTTTGTAATTTTTTATTTTCAGAAAGATGAGTGTTCAAAAATGTAGGCGCAGCTGACAAAATTTAGTCGCACCCACAAAAATTATAAGCACCGTTACTACACATTTTATATTAACAGATTCCATTATCTATTAACACTAATCACAACTAACAAACAAAAATCTGTATGCGCTCACCGGCCCTGCACGCACTGCTTGATGTGAATGAGATCAACTAAATAAAAAAAAAAATAAAAAAAATCACTGTGCTGTTCTCATGGGGGGTGTCTGATATTGCACAGGTGAAACTATAACTTATAGTTTGCATACATCATCTTAATAGCAATAACAGTCTTTTCATGAGCTGCAATATTCGTTTCATCTCAGTGAATGAATGCTTTTTAGTAGGGATGTAACGGTATTGTAAATACCGTCATACCGCAATATTAATTTTTTTCGATATTACCGTAGTCGCATGACTTGGTAAAACTATAGGTCTTCTGAGAAAATTTGCTCAGGCGAATGAAGCGAACGGGAGGTACCGGAAACTACAATTCCCATCAGCCCAGGCTTGGCCATAATCCCTTGCGGTCTGTTGTCGCTACAGATCCAGTAATGCGGAAATAGAGTGTGCTGCTAGAAGCGGGGATGAAAAAGCGCTGGAAAACCCTAAAGCGGGTGTTGTCGCCGTGCGCGTACTGAATAGCGGTGTTGTCGCGCGAGTTCTTATCAGCTGTGTTGTCGCGCGCGTACTGAATAGCGGTGTTGTCGCGAGAGTTCTTATCAGCTGTGTTGTCGCGCGCGTTCTAATCAGCTGTGTTGTCGCGCGCGTACTGTAAAGCGGGGACGGAGGGTATGTCGCGTCGCGGGGGCACTTTTGATCATTTTGGAAGGGCACTTTCTATCCAAGACTAAAAAGGGCATGTGCACTGCACAGGTTGAGCACTGTGTGTGCACGTGCCTGCAAGTTGGGGAATACGACTAATAATCAGTCATGGGGACTGCAGAAACACAGCACACTGTTCAGATTGATGCAGACATGAGATCTCTATCTCACTCATGGTTTGTCCTCTCAAGTGGGGGAAAGACAATGCACAACGTTACCCACTCCTGTCAACCTGGGCCAAGTCATATCTCTCTTGTCCCAGAAACCTCAGTCCCAAATGAGAGGGTTTTTTTCTATTGCAGGGGACATTGTAAATACCCAGAGATACCAGCTTTTACCAGATTATATTTATATGATAATTTTCCTTTAAAGCCATCTCTATCTAAGTGAGTGAGTGATTAAATGTTGAATGTGATGAGTTTTCAACACTACTAAATTGAAACTTAATTTTTTTTACATGTTTTAATATTTTTTTGTTATTAAAATTGAAGTTCCTGTTTCAAAGCTTACAGATAGATGACTAATTTGTATGTCATTGACACTTTTGGCACTTTTTTGGAGTATTTTCATAAGTTTTGTTTTTTCCTGTAAATGATTCAATAAATGCCGTACCATGACATTAATACCGAGGTATTACCGTACCGTGAAATTCTGATACCGTTACATCCCTATTTTTTAGCGATGGTGAGCGCGGTGTCAGTCGCACGATTGACAGCATCGTGACAATTAAATGAAGCATTAAATAACGTTAGAACATCTCATGCTTAACATGTGTAGATTCAAGGGCAAGCACTGTTACCTGAAAACTCTGTCCCACCGGCTTAATGGTGAATGGCTTTAGTCATTTTCATAGCGAACTTTAACCACTGGAAGTCTTACCCACTCTTCGAAAAGTGTAAATGCTGAATTGACATTCAGCCCATGATCACTAATCAGATCTGCCATTATTTGTAACTTCAGCTGGTCTCTAAAACTAAATCTGTCAGTGTTGTTTTCATTCTCTCCATCTAGACCTTTACATTTTCGTGGCTTGTAGCAAACAGTCATCGAAGCTAAGTGATTGACAGCTGTTATTAACCAATCCATTCACATTCTGTTCTAGCGCCTTGGGACAATAAGAGGAGCTTGAAGGAGGGGCAAGCATTGCGGGCTTTTTGGTACTTATTCTCTTTTATCTTTTTAGATATTAGTCTGAATCGTTCGGTTTGCAATACGTACCGAAAGTCTCGTACAGAACGGTTCAATACGAATACGCGTATCGTTACAACCTTAACATATATTAAGGGTGGGTCTACCTGCAGCCCATGTGAGAGGTGGATCCGTGGCAAATCCACGCACTAAGCTATATCTATTTAATTTATAACAATGTAAACTTGACTTCGCAGGCCGTTAATCTTTAAACGCAAAAAGCATTTTTAAGTGTCCTAAATTGACTGCTGCTGCACAATGGGATGTTTTTTTTACAAAACTGTAAAAGTGCGCTTTAGCTTGTCAAAATGAAAGCAAACATTCAAAAGGGTTCTGCGTTTTGTCGAATTTACTAATATTAATAATAATCGATATAATACATTTAAATAATAATGGCACTGTCCAGTGTAATAAACTTTTTTATTAGGCGACATAACTGAAAAACTAATTTGAAGATTACCGGCAGTTGCGTTTTTGCTCAAATTAACGGCAAAATTCTTTTGCGTTTTTTCCCTTTAGAGCTCAAGAAAGTTGTATTTAATAGGCTGCTCGCCTCATGTCATCTGCTAGTCCAGTTTTCTCCCATGTGAGTTGAGTGCGCCGCCGTGTGTGCGTTTTATACACTATATACGGGCGTTTTATACACCTGACCTGACGTGGGGACCAGATCTCTGGACTATAGGCCTAGCTTTAATCTGTCAATTTTCCTAATTTAATTGCTATTTCATATTATACAATATCTAAATGTAGCACCGGGCCTACGCTCGATAACAAGGAGTGGGGCTGTGTGTGTAGCGCCTTTAAGCAGCGTGTTAATCAACTGCTGCCGGTGAGCCAGTGCGCAAAGCCGGTAAAGATATAACCAAAAGCAAGTTCATATTATAAATATTTTTTTAAAGATACTTATCGAAAATTCATTTAATCCTACCCTTCAAATAGAATTTTTAGTTGCACCATTAAGAAATCAGGTCACTCTAGAGCCCTGCAATACTCTATAGTAAAATAATGTTCTTAACTGTTTTTTTTCCCTAGAAAACCATTTTCGGAATATTTTGTTTAAGGAATGCAAGAAAAGAACTGAAAAAATATCAATATTCTCGGAGTGAACCGATTGGATTTTATTTATTTTTTTAGTTTTTAAGTCCTGCTCTACAGTTTGACTAGTACTGCATCTGTTGGACAACATAATGTACTGTTGAGGCTTTTTAGTCGAGAATGTAGTAGTTTAGATTGCAACTATGTACTTTATTTATAAGGGTAGTGCCTATTTTAAATATTTATAATTTTAGAGCACCGGATTCAGTCCACTGGCCGCTATTAGCCTGTCTAAGCAAAACAAAGAAAGATGTTCCGTCACAAGGTGGCAACAGAAACCGCATAATAAGTCCTTAGGGGAGACAAATTTTCTTACATTTTCTTAGCATGAATTTCAAACTACAGCAGAATAAATCTTTATAAATCAGGTAAGCGACATTCTTAGTCAATCTCTTTTGTATTGGTGTATTTATACCACAGAAACTGGTAGTGTTTGCTTTGCTCTGGCCTTTTTGGGTTTAATTATTGTGAAATCCCGAGTCTCGACTGCAACAGCGAAATACTGGGAAACCTCTGTAGACGTTCAGCCTTATAATCTTAAAATGTGAGCAAAATCATCCGTTTTGTCATCACTTTAGACATTATGCTAGAGAATCATTCAAATGCTTGCTCTAAAGTGACATTGGGACAGTAGCAACGGTTTCAGCTGTTTTGATTTCAGCTGCAGATGTGAGCAAATGGTGGAAGAAAGTAGTTCCTCTTACAAAAGAGTTTTTGAGACTCTGTGTTTGATTTTCATTTTTATATAAACGATTATGCCATCAAACTGTTGTATAAACACAATATCACACTTGTAGCATTGCCACGTGGCTGTATGGCTGTATATAGTCACTGGTGAGGGCACGCACATACACACAGGAGCCTGATAAAAATGCTAATTTTAGAGGAAAATTTCACATGGCATTTAGAGGTTTTTGCATCTAAACTCTTCATATATACTTTATATTTTTTAAATATATATGGTTTGCCTATATTACAACTGCTTGAAGTGTAATAATGTGTGCAATGTAGTTAATTAATATCCCAATATAAAATTATAATATTATGAAACTTATCACAAATAAATAATTTTTTTTTAAACCTAAAAAATAATCTATTTACATTTTACATTCTTATACAAATGACATCACAATGTGGCTTAGTAGTGTTATTAAAAGATCACAAAGGTGGCGAATTGGCTAAATATAAATTGTATATGCACTGTGTGAATATGTACTATGTGAAGAATGGTACTGTGTTCCTATGCATGTGCGCTGCTCAACATTTGATCATGCTTTCCATGTGTCCACACAACTTGGGTTTGCTATAAATGAGTTGGTGTGTGGATTTACATCATGTTTGAGATGCATTTGAGAACACAACATGCTTCAACCTTCTTCCCAAATTGTAATAAGTAAATCGTTACAACCAGCTGCTGTCAACAAAACATAAGCCAGACCCCTAGTTTTTTTTCGATTCTGCAATCACTGAATCCAATGCAAATATCAACAAAAAGTTGAACATATTTGTAAATCCTGCAAAATTCTTAATTTAAATGCAAGAATTAAATTAAAATTATATATGAAAACAATATATATATATATATATATATATATATATATATATATATATATATATATATATATACACACCAATATTTTTAAATGTGACAACATTATTATAACCTTTATGTGACAACAGTTAATAAGACAAGACGTACCTTGAGTTCCTGAAGTTGGTCAGGTTCATAGAGCTGGTTGGACACAGCTTGAGCCAAAAAGGCATCAAGCTCATGGCGCTGAAGAATGCGACCCCCCGGCCACTGCATCATATACCTGTAAACACACACGTGCCAACGTTACTCAGATTCCATGCTGATCTACTTATTCAAAGTAAGTGTCAGTGTCTAATGAGAAACAGCCCCCTAGTGAGGTCATATGGCAGTGGTACCTGAGCACGCAGCACATGAGCAGCAGGTGAGATGGCACACAGGTTGGGTTGAGCAGGGCAGGGCAGTCAGACCGCATACAGGCTAGAAAGGCTCGTGTACGGCGACTTCGGTCCTCAGATGCTCTGCCAAGCCACAACCGCCTTAGATTGGGACATGTCCACTCACGAAAACACAGGGCTGGGACGAGCTCTGGGGTCAGGGCAGATTTAGCTTTACTGGCACACCACTCCTTTACAATAACCGGGGGCACTGCAGAGTCAAAGAGAAATAAGACATGTTTAGTGTCATGTTGATCTTTTTCTGGCATCTTCTTTCTCACAGAAAGAAATGATATGATTATTTTAAAAAAATAATAACTTGCAGTGTGACACTACCACATTTTATGCCTGGTATAGATACAAAGAAACAAGTTTTAATTCATATTATGCTAAGACTCTTCTCATACTGTACAACTTTGCCTTCAGAATAGACATGGGATGATATGGAGTCAATCTAGGGCCATATTTACTTGCAGCAAAAAGTGTTCAAAGTAGTGAACAAACAGATAAAAATAAATAAATGCAAATCTATAAAAAGGGAAAATAAATTTTTGAGAAATACAAATTAAATTTGCAAACAGAAAAAGAACTACAAATAAATGTTTATTTGCAATGTATTTGCAATAAAAAAATAAAAAAACAATATATATTTTAGGGCTTGCATAGACTAGTTGACTAGTCGAGCAATCAACTACTCGAGCGTGCATTTCCCATAAATGACATCAAAACAACAAACGTATCCAACAAGCATCACGATTCAAGGTTAAAGCCTCCAACTACAACTGAGGATTAAATTCAAGATTATTTACATTATCCACATTAACACCAAAGGGAATCCTCTCGAATGGTAGTTAACATGGTTTCCGCTACATTAATTCTTCCGTGGCGGGGCGCCACACCAAAAAACATTACAGCTTCCTATTCAAAACATTCAGTCGTGTTTTTAATAGCTGGTTATAATCGCACCAAAACGTATTAAAAGGTAGGTAAATTATAACAGCGCAAACTTTACTGTGTGCGTCATTGGTTAACCCTTAAAGGTTACATGCTCACTGACTGACTGACAGGTGCGTGATGCGTGAGCCCAGCAAACACGACAAAGCTTTCAGTTAGATCAACAGTTTTCATAAGTATACTTTATAGATAAAGGTCTATTGCTCTGCATATTATGATTTTATCTTAATAATTTTGCGCGCAAGCAAAGAGATTGAAATAACACCATAAGTGTTTGTTAGATCTGTATAAAAACAGGCCTACCGCCACAGCTGAAAAAAAATCCTAGAGGAAACTGATGTTAAAATTAAATTACTCTGTGTACTATCCAAGCTAGTGAAAACATTTCTTGCTATCCTTGCCACCAGCACACGAAGTGAAAGAAATTTACTTTGTCTGGCAACACTGTAACAAGACAAAGAGCAACTTGCATCCCTCTCACGTGGATGCGCTTGTATTTCTAAATGTAAACCAGCGATCCATAAGCTTGACCAAAAACTGACTAGAGGATGAGAGCGAGGATGATGTGTTCTGTATAAAGTCGGATGAAGTAAGATTCTATCCCTTATTTCTGTCGAAAACAGGGTAAATATAAAATGATTAAAGTGCAAGATGGGCTTTTCATTCATAGTTGCGTTGCAGTTTTTTTTTTCACTTTTAAATATTAAATTCATTTTCTCATACATTATGTCTGCATGTTAAAATACCATGCAGTCATTTGTTATTTTACTGTGTCTGCGCATATTTTATTTATTATTTTAACACATATTTTTTTCATTTATTGAAATAATTTATTTATAAATATTTTATTTATTTTTTATTTTCTGCTTGGCTGTATAGACTATTGTCGCTTGTTGAACTATTTATTTTCTGAACCAAAATAATTTTAATTCTTGTTGTCACTGCTGGAAACTTTTTAATCAGACTACTTGTTGTATAACAGACTATTACTTGCGCGCACATGATTGTTTGCATAATCTTCAGGCCGGTTGAAGTATATATATTCATTCATTTTGTTATTTTAGTAACTGTTGAAACATAGCAGAAATTAAATGATTGAATGAGATTTAGCCTATAGCTCAGAGTAATTTTATTAATATTTTAATTAGTTTTATGAATACTGCATTATGAATATGATTTTTCAGGACGCATTTTAGGTTTCGGGTGTGGCCATACTTTTACTTTCTATAGCCTACATTAAATAATAAAATTGTAATTAAAATGCAATAATTAGCCTAGCTTTTTTCTTTTTTTTGTATTATAAATATTTAATTTAAGTATTTTCAATTTCAACTTTTTATTTATAAATTACTTATTAATTTAGGGTCAGCTGTATTGTTGACAAGAACTATTTTTAATCTTTCCAAACTGGTTTAACAATTAGGTTTTACTTAGTTCTTATTACGGCTAGAAAATAATAAAGTTACTTTAATAACTTAAAGTATTACATGATGAACATGAGTTTGCTTCGCATATACAGCAAGCTTATGACACAGATGTTAAATGACAATGTTGCGTGCAGCTTTTTTTTATATTACTCTATAACAAAGTAATATAATGTTTTGACAATTCATGTTAGGGCTATGAAATCAATGCATTCAGCTATGAATTACTAAAACGTATTAAAAAGGATTTCTTTGTGTCTTTTTAACTAGTAGCTCGAACCCCGGGTAGTCGAGTAACTCGAGTATTGTTTTGAAAAGAAATCGATTAGCAGAAACCAGTAGTCGTTCAAGCGCTAATATATTTCCAAAACATTTTTATGGTATTGTCTTTACAAAATGGGAACTTGGGTGTTTACTGCAGGCCCAGACCTACTGGGCTATAAAATTTAAGTTTCATTTCTTAATTTATTTTTGCTGAGTCATTTTTGGAGATTTGCATTTATTTATTTTTTTGCTCAATACTTTATTTTTTGTTTGCAAAACTTTCTTTTATTTTGCAAGTATACATGGCCTTAGATTGACTCAATTTGATGATAACAATTTACAAGGTATACCGTGATTTTGAAAATGTTCAGCTATACCGTTTCTAAGGTGTGTGTATGATTTTTTTATTTACATTTTTTTGAACAGTATCTCAAGCAGAAAAGATAGTCGTTTTAAATCGTGAAGCAATCTGTTTTTCAAACAAATGAAAATAGCAGAAGTCAATGATTCATTTGAACTATATACCCTGACATGTCTACTGCTTCAAGTATTTTAAATGTTTCTCAAAATAAAATATTGTATGTTAAAATAGGAAACAAGCTTTGTTTTTACCCATAAATTTAAAAAGAACTTATTTTTAGAGTAGTAATCACACCACTGTGAAACAATGATATTTTTATCCAAGGTTATCATACCGTCAGAATCTTATACCTGCCCGTGCCTACTCTAGAATAACTGCTGTTAATCAAACCACTTGTCAAATATTAGAAAAATACACCTAAAGACGTGAAAAAAATGCTTTTTTTGCTACTTAAAAGTTTTGGAATGTATTCCAATATATTATTTATAGGTGAACTATCCCTGAATTTAAGCTCTAGTACCCCATAAGCTGCTGCGTGCAGTTATATTTTACAATTACTTATAATAATAAATTAGCACTCTTTAATAAACCAAAAACATAAAGCAATGTTTAGACTACATATTTAATAAACAATTGCATTAGTGTGCTGAATAGCTGTGGCACTGTCTTATCAACCCTACGTCTATGCCCACCCTCATCCTCACCATCAACTGGACTACGCTTGCGCATGGCCAGTCTCTCCAGCCTCCGCTGGGTCTCAGCCAGGCTGAACAGCACCCCGTAGGCATACTGGCGGGCAGAACGGAAAAGTAGAGAAGCAGGAGGCAGGTCAGGGTTGCACTCATCCTCTATACACACTGGCATCTTCATCTCCCCCTGAGAGGTGACAGAAAGGAAACAGAAAAGGGAGAAGAAATGGAGCGTAAGGGACATAGGGAACAGTATTAGAACTCTGATATCTGCTATTACAATATATGCTTTCTGAATATTAAATGGGTTTTCAGGGAATTAATCACAATAAATGTAAACTAATTATTGCCTGCTGTTTAAAACTTTAAATGGAATTTGTTGAAATAATAAAAATAATTGAGTACACACAGTAATGAAGATATAAGTTATTTTACTTCATTCTTTATTACTTCATTATTTTATGTGAGACTTCAAGGATTGTTTAAACATCTGCCACCATAAATGGAAAACTAATGCTATAATAAAACTATATCATTTTAGCATTGTTTTAATGAAAACATTGTGTATTTTTTTGTAATAAAGTATAACAGCTTATAATAAAAGCATAAGCAATGATGCTGCTTTGAGGTAAACAAAAAGTTTCCATTTCTAGTCAGATTTGACGTAAAGGAAAAATGAGTCATATGTCAATTTTATAAACACAGCAGATTCAGTCAGATAATTTAGTGAAGAAAATTGCTGATGGTTTATGCACATGCTATGTGATTGCAGTACCTTGGTCAGGATGTGGTAGATCTGTGGATACATGAGTCCTCTTCTGTGTCTGTGCTCGGCCACTCTCAGCACCTCTGCACTGACCTGGGGAAGGGGTGGCGTTGTGATGTCCATGTGACTCCGAGTTGGCATGGAAAGCAATGATGGGATGGACGGCCCACTTCCGTTGCCATGGTGGCCATCCCCAGAGCCACTGCCACTCCGTCCACTGGGATCTTCCCATCTCGTGGACTTGTCAGCCAAATGACTATGGAAGAAAAGAAATATTCAACCTGCTCTAAACACAAGTTTATTATTAAAAGAGGCTCGCTACATATTGGGGGCTTTTCAATTCTTATTTGTGCATCCTCGTTTCTTCTTTTCAAGTCTTAGCTCGACACCCATGGAGGATGTGAGTGGAGGGCCCAAAAAATAGATGGGAGGCCAGAGGAATTGAATGAAAAAAATGATACATCCTTGATTCCTTTAGCGTCATTTAAAAGCATCTTCATTCAAGGAGTACTCTACATTACGATAATTTCTTTTACAAGTTAGAATTCTTGAATTTTAGATTTAATTATTAATATTCACAACCTCCACAAAACATCACATTTGTCTGTATTTTTATTCATTTGACTTATTTACAGGTAATAGCTGCTTATTGGTGCTGAAATTAATGTTACATCCAAATGAAAGAAACTATGAAAACATAAACTAAATTTACAACGTTATGCTTAATATTCACATTATTGTGTTTGTTTTTCTGTTGTATTTAGCAACTAGCAACTGGTGAACTCACTTAGCGCTGGTGTCATTTTGCTCCTCCCCATCTGAAGACGAAGATGACGAGGGGGAGGGGCCTGTGGGAGCAGCAGTGTGGTGATTGGGCTGTCGGCTGCCACCTTGAGAGGAATCATATGGAGCAGACCAATCAGCAAAGCCCATTTTCCCAACAAGTGAATCGTTACAGTCCTGCAGTGGCTGTGTTGGGTTCTGGCATAAAAGGGCTGGACCAGTGGCAGGACCGGGTCCATAGAGCCCACCTGGATAAGGCACCTTAACACCTGACACCTGGGGTGGACCAAACTGCAGAGACCCAAAAACAAGCAAAAAGATATTTAGATGCCATTAGTTTCTGTAAAATACACACAAAAAAATCACCAAACTTTTATAGTTTAAAAAAACATTACCTGAGCTTTTAATGGCTGTACTGCCCCCACATGGCCTGGAGGTCCAGCAAATGGACTAGGCCCAAAGCCTGGAACTGAGATAAGTCAAAGTAACAACAACAGATAAATACTGAGTACAAACTGGTGTCAGAGTTTGTCTTGCAAACTACCACTTTTTTTTATCACTTGTTTGTCACAAAACTACTAAGATATTTTAATACAATTACAATTGAAAATAACTGTTTTTAATACCTTTACCATATAATTAAATCATGAAACTATTCAGTTTCAGCAACATTACTTCAGATTCTTGATTCTAATAAGACAAATTGGTGCTCAAGAAAAAACTAAGTCAAAAACTGTTTAACATGTGGATTCTGTCATGAATAAAAAGTGTTAATTTATAAAAAAAAAATTATATATATATATATATATATATATATATATATATATATATATACACATACACATATATATATATATATATATATATATATATATATATATATATATATATATATATATATATATATATATATATACATATATACACACACACACTTATGTTGCCATCAATGTTTTACTGTGCCCTTGATCAATGTAACGCATTCTAGGAAAATAAAAGTATTTACTCTCTTAAAATGACACCAAACACCACATTATACCTACAGAGGTAAGGAGAAGGTCCCATGGAGAGAGGTCTTGGTTTACTGGCCGCTGAAAAATACTCCACTGCCTTCTTAAACCTCTCAATTTTATCTTCGGTGCGTGACTAGTGGATAGAAAAAAGTGGAGAAAATGATGAGCTTTAAATGTAGCAACAGTATCAAACAAACGCATTTAATAAGCAGCACTTGAAAACAAGGGTGTGCAATATTGACAAATCATTTTCTCAATTACTTAAGAAATTTACTTCTAAAAGGATAATATTTTGCTGAGAATGTTTTTGTGCTGGCAACTCAGCTGATTTAGACCTGTTGTGGATAAAAGTGACACTAAAAAAACCTAGTACTTTAAATTAGGCCTGAATTGTATAATGCATCAGATGTGTTTTCATCACATCCTTCAAATCACCCTCAATATTTGCACTCATTCCATTTCACAAAAAAAACTTAGTTTAAATGAATCGGCTCTGACATTGTTCAATCTGTTCTAGCAAAAGCAAGATAAAATATCTGGAGATAAAAGTTTCCTTCTGTTTCTTTGAATTATTCATTAAAATTTAAAAATGAGCGAAATATAAACCACTGAGAAGCCAAAAGAAACTATTTACATAAAACTTTTCTAATATAAGATGCACAAACTTTCACCCATCTAATGCTTCATCCTGTAAAGGACTCTGCTTTGAAGCATCGAAAACTTGGTTTGTACAAATAGACAACGAAATCAAGATAAAATAATTTGCTCAAAATCAGATTTTTTAAGTTAAAAAAAACACATTGCTGCTCTGAGATGCACAAATGTTCTGCTCTGGCTAACTATTTTTGTTTTCAACAAGAACAGCGGTAAGCAATATTGTGTCAAATAAAATAAGCAATTCTCGTTTGTTGAACCGTTGTATAAAATCAATACTAATTTTGTGATAGCAAACATGCACTCATAATCTGGAAAAACAGCACACCTGTTAGTAGGTTATTACTTTATTATACTATAGCTTATAAAAAATGCATTCAGAGGATGGATTTATATTACATCCGATATCTTCTTTAAAAAAAAAATAAAAATCAAGAGATTTTTAATGCTTTCACAACCCGAATGATGGGGCTCTCTCAAGCTGATTTCTAACAGTTTTCAACATGTAAGGTATGCTTTTGGAGTCGCCAACTCGATAAATCCAGTTTAAACACTTAAAATAACAATATTTTTTAGAGATGCTAAATATCGCACACCCTCACATGCAAATAAATGTGTAAACACGGCATGCTTCACCTGTGACTGCTTGAAAACATCCTTGGCCACCGAATCTAAATTCCCAAGATCTTTGATGGATGCCACATACTCAGAAACAGCCTTGATAACAACCTCACATGGAGGGAGGACTAACTGATGAGCCCTTACCTGAGCAGAAAAAAAAACAAACAAATAATGAAGCAAAGAGCAACAAATAAAGTATGGGTTGTGCTAATAAGTGTAAAGCACAAGGATGCTTAAATATCTCATCCATTACAACTACAAAAAAAAGAGAATATCATAAAGTGTGTGAACTGACAAATCATTTTAGCACCTTGAGGGAGGCAAGAGGGTGTTCTGGGCCTAGAAGACTCCAATGAAAGGCAGCCAAGTCTTCATCTGGCAGAATGTGGTTACCTGTTTGTTTTTTTGAAGGGCCACATTTAGAACTAAATAATGTTCTTTAAAGATAAAGTCATGTTCATGTTAGCTTCGCTTACCAAGAAGAGCAGCAAAAATGGGCAGGTGCTGTGTCTTGAGGCCAAGCTGGCGAGCCGCCTCTGATAGCAGGTACTGGTGAGTGGTCAGATTCTTGCCATTCCAGGAGAGCTTGAGAGCGTGGGAGCTGAAATAGGCCGGAACGTTGCATAGCGCAAACTCTGAGTCCTGTGCAATCAGACCCTGAAAACCATAGTCTCTGTACAGGGATAGCACCTCCTGATGATGGTCCTCCAGGGTCTGCACCACCTACAACACAAGCAGGGTGGAAGGTGATCACGTGTTCTTGTGACTTACTAAGCAACAAGCTACAACTGATCTGAACTGAAAATACTACATTTGCTGACAATAATCTTGGATTAATATGAAAATAACACAGATTTTTAAAAATAATTTCAATACTTATTTTCTGCATATTTTCAATACACTGATATCACTTGTACTTCTTAACTCTCTTAGATATTAAGCTGTAATTTAATTAGAGGAGAGAAAGCCTTCGCACAGTAGCATAGCCCTCGCTGTGGCTGACACAGATGCTGATGCACACCGCTCAAAAAAAATATAATGTAACTACACATCGCAACTACGACTCTGTGATTGGTCGGCTTGGTACCAGTGATGAGTATGAGGGTGCCGCGAGCCGATGGAGTGTTTACAAGTGTCGAGTCCCGTGAAGAAGCTACTTGCAGTGTTTCAAAAAAAAAACTAAATACCTAGCAAGACACTTAACACAGAGGAACATTAAAGCCTATTGCTAGCTAGCGAAAGTATCGTTGCAGAGCAACACAAACAGCATGCAGAACTATAAATGCACAACTACGCAAAAGGCAGGCCCCTTGGGTCACACTGATCTCTTGACGCAAAAATATAAATCAGCTTTTAAAATTTGTACAATACAAACTATATAAACATTGCATGACTAATGCTTCAAATATAGCATTTTCTATTTGTAAATATGAAATACATAAAATTCTAAATTTTTTAAAATGTAATTTTTATTTATTCATAATGAATCAGTTATTCAGACAATTTAAAGCAGGTGATTTATTTAGTAAAGCATTATTGTAGGTTTATTTTCCCCTCTTTGTTTTGTGTAAAATTGTATCTAAAATGTAAGCCATTTTCATTTTGTCAGTAAAACGTTTCAACGTTTTTAGATAGAACAGCATAGAGGTTTGAAAAAAACCCTGCTGAAACAAGGGGGTTTCATGGCCTTTTAAAACTATTACTTTAACACATTTGTGCCCAATAACGGGTTTTATTTCTGTATCGCAAACAAATCTTTTTAAGCACTTATTCACAAACTACTTGCTTTTTAACAAGCCTAATACCCCCTCTGACTAAATATAATCCAATATATACTCTTATTCAGTTATTAGAACAGTACCGTTGCATAGATCAATTTTGAGAAGTGGTTAACCGATGATACTGCGCATGCGTGATTCAGTGAACCAAACACAAACAGTACATGACAGCCTGCTGTGAGTGAACTAAACTTGAACAACTGCAGCGTGTGACCCGAGGGCTTAAATGAAAGGATCTGGTGAAAATCATAAGTTTATTTCATAACAGAAAATTTGTAATGGAATTTAAATAACTGAATCATGCGTTAGTAGGGTTGCAAAACTTTACAGTAAGACATTTTTTAGATCATGGTGATGTTTTAACTGGATGAAATTACTATTGCTGACTACATAATGTTGAGTCCTAACAACCGCATTAAAAATCTGAACTACTGTGTATCTAACCTCAGGAGCAGCCTTGCACACATATTGTACTTAAAGCCTGCATTAACACTTCTGAAACTCTAGTTGGCAGTGAGGTGTTAAATGTTCCTCTGTGTCAAGTTTCTTTGTGTTTTGTTTTTCCTGAATGCTTCCTTAATGAACAAGTGGCTCAAACTCGCTCATTTTGAGGCAGCAACCGGCGGACTGGCAACAACTTTAACCATGAGGTAAACACTAAACAAAACTTTCTATCCAGAGCTCCTTCATGGGATTCCACACTTGTGAACAATCACTCCATCGGGCTCACGCGACATTCAGCCCTGCCCAGACTCGTCAGCGCTACCAAGTCAACCAATCACAGAGCTTGCATTACTCGTCGTTGCGGCGTGTAGTTACATTTTTTTAAGAGGTGCACATCAGCAACGCTGACGGCCACGACGTAGGGCTATGCGTCAATGCGCTTGACGCAGAAGTATAAATCCGCCTTAAGGCTGCTATCTTGTGGGCTGTTGTATTTGAAAATTGAGGATGGATAGATGGTAGTGGTAGATGACAGCGTTCATGTGTCATCTGAATACATGTTTCAAAAAATATATGACTGAGTTTTTATTATACAACATATATTCTGTTGATTTTGAATCTTGCAAACAAATAATCCTTATTTAGAAAAAAAAAATACATTGAAACTAATAAAAACTAAACTAATCTATTTTCATATAATAAAGAAACTGATGAAAACTAGTAAATCTCCCTCTAAAAACTAATTAAAACTAACTGAATTTGAAAAGAAAGTCAAAACGAAATAGAAACTAACAACGAAATCATTATTTTTCTGTGATAATGACAGCTCTTTGCATCACTTCTTGATTCTCAGTAAACTTTGCCTGTGTGTAGTAAATGCCACATTTAACAACACATTTTTACTACAAAATCCTTTAATTACTTCAGACAAGTGCTTGAAATAAGTTCTGCTATGAGAGAACTTCATAACCATGTAATTTTAAGACACTCCAGCCTTCGGAAAAAGATTTACTACTAAACACAACTGTACTTCCCTGACAAGATGTGCAAGACAATTGCATGTAATGTATGATCATCAAGTCGCATTTAATTTCATTTTCATGTCACCAGCCCTAGTAAAAAATGTCAAAATACAGCCAGGAACTTATCCATTGCCCAAACAAAGCAATCTGCTAAAAGGAGACACATTTTGATGCCTGTACTGATCTGTAATTTGCAGCTAGAAAGAAGAAAAACAACCTTCCTTGACCTTTTTTATAGGTTCCATTTTCTGAAATAATGTCGGGTTTTTTTGCTACTTTAGATGTGTTTGGTCAATGTTGCATTTACATTATAGTAGAACCACACCAGAGTTGCCTTGGAAGCTTGTTTAGTGCTTAAAGGGTCACGAAACACCAAAACACATTTTTTGAGCTGTTGACAGTCGTATATGTGTCCCACACTGCTAAAAACACTATTAGGACACCTATATTTCACTAAAAAGTGTAAATTGGTTGTTTTTGCATTATTTCAAGCAAATTCGTACTTCCGGTTTGAAACGAATTTTTGAAGCTGCGTCATGGCCATGACATAATAGCGTGTATTCCAGCGTGCAGACTGGGCGTCTGAGCCAGAGTGAGTCTTATTACGTCTTACAGTGTGATGCATTAATGCATGAGTAAGGCTTGGTTCAAACCAATCAGCGCGCTCTATTGTGCAACTTCATTAATATTTATTGCTGTCAAAGTGTAGACGGCAGAGACGCCACGTTGTATTGGCAAAACAAGCGTGAAGTGTTGCTTTTATTGTTTGCTGCAGTTAAGTTTTGTTTTCATTTTCTCTCTGTGAGAGCTCTGAGTCACGTGTGGATTAACAGTGTACGCGACGCGCGACAACAATAACTTACGTGTCTAAGGAGGAACATTGTTTACCTGAGAGCTGTTCTCATCTGCAAACGCTGAGATCTGGATTCGCTTGTAGTCTCCTTAAATAAAGACGCGGCTCTAGTTGCTGTGGATTGTCCTGTCTCTACAGATTTGGTAAGTGAGCGACCAGTGCTCTCTGTTTATTCAGTTCGTATTTTATTCGTATCAAACTATTGCACCAGTGTAAACAAGTTAGCACTAACAGTTACAACCAAACTATAACCTCGTGTAGGATTTTGTGACCGGAATAACACACGCGGCTTTCTGACGCTACCTGCCGTGTGCATCTAAGTTTCCGGGAAATGCTGAGTTTTTTTTTCTCTCATTCGCCGTGCGGTATCAAACATTGCATGAAAAATACACGCTTAGAGCAGATCCTCGAATCAAATATCTCGTTTGTCGGGAGGGACATGAATGAATTCCCTGAATGAAAGAGCCAAACTGCAGTTAAAGTCCACCATTTAATAATTTGGCAAATAATTCGACTACAGATGTCCATGTAAACACAGTCACATTGTCCGCTGTGGTTGTGTGTTTTGACTCTGAAATTCAGCGCGCCCAAATAGACACTCCCATACCAAGCCTCTTTTCTTCCTCCGACACTCCCCCCTAAACAGAGCTGGACACGCCCACTTTTCTGACTTTTTCCAAAGTAGAGGTGTGAAAACACCCTGCTGAAACGAGGGGGTTTCATGGCCCTTTAACAACTTTCGGACAAACCACTCTGGCAGAGCAATCACATCAGTCTGCTTGAGTCAAACCAAACCTGACAAGTGTAAACACACCCCTAGTTAAAAATATTATGAATATATAGTTTAAAATATTTTCAGAAATTATCAGAAATTAGTTACAGTTATTTACATTTCATGTCCCGGGTGTTATTAATGCTATATTATTACAAATGTACTGTATTTTAAAATGAGTCTGAAAGTTTAGTTTCAAATCAACACTACAAATGAGCTAAAACTGTGCTAATGACTGTCCAGCCATGATTAGTCTGAGGGTTACTAATTCAAGTCATGTTAGATAGATCATATTCACAAGAACAGACAATGTTGTAATTACAGGAGGAGAACAATGGAGTTGCCGCATGTTCCGACTTAAATTTTAAACTCAAGAATGTTTGTTTGAGGAAAAAAAATGTTAAACACAATAGATGAAACTTCTGTGCTGATGGTAAATGTGTTGAAATGTACAATAAAAGTATGTTTCATCAACAAAATATAGTATTACTGCACAGTAAGCATTAAAATTTGATGATTCAGCTTACAGCACCTTCATAAACTGAATGAAAACAGAAAAGCATCAACACTCTAATGGAAATAGTACACATTTTTATGTAAAAATGTGCATTGCCACCTGACATACCTGACGCTGAAAATACAACTTCGAAATTCATAAAAAAAAACTTGTAATAAATTATAGCAAATTTAATTATTCGACTGGTCATGTAATATCACACCAGTTCTGATGAGGAGACCTGCTCAATAACAGATTTTAAGAGCTACTTATTGGACTGGAATCATAATTTTAAACCATCAATCGTTTTTAAACATTTTATTAATCAAATATTAAACTAAGGCATATGAACTTTGGCACATATTTACATTACAATAAGACAATTAGTTAAAGCAGGTAAAGCATTTGCAGCACATACTGGTTTAATAACAATTCCTCTCGAGGAGGGCATCAGGCCACTCACCCGCACGCGGAATCGGAACATGGCGAGGCGGACACAGTGGCTCAGGCAGGCCGGGGGCAGGAACCAGGCCCGCGGAGGGGGCGTGGCCTTGCTTCCGACGTGGTTGACGATGAGCTGTGCGGTCTGCCGCTGCCCCTGCGCCCGCCGCGCCCACTCCGGCCAGCGATCCTTCCCAAGCGTGCCGTTAAAAACCACCACAAGCTCCAGTCCGCCCTGGTACAAACAGGCCTGGGAGAGGGCCGCCAGATAGCCGAGCATTGCATTCCACTCGCCTCCACAAACCCAGTCGGTCTGGTAGCCCCCGTAGAGTCGCTGAAGGCCGGAGTCTGCGTCAACCAGAATGCGAGCTGGCGGGGGAGGCGGAGGCAGCGAGCTGGGATGATGGGGATGGTGGTGGTGGTGTGGATGGTGGTGTGGGGGCTGTCGGCCTGCCGTGCGGGCGAGCTTGAGGAGATCTACTGGAACTGCCGCCCCGGGGCAGCGCTTCTCCAAATACTCCTGAAACCCTTGAACTCCCATACTGAATGTGTGTCTAAGCGCGTGAGATGGATGAACCTTGATAACAAGTTGAATTGTAGGTTATGTGCTCAGATCTCGATCTGACCGGTTGTAGTTAGGTAACTAAAAAGCTGAAATGTCCAGTAATTATCCGACGAATGCAACTGTCATCCGACCCCCTGTAAAATTTCAGATACGCGTGGCTATTTCTTTACATTTGGTCGTGTAAGTGCAATTTGTGTCCATTCCTAAGTGTGTCAACGTGCTAAAATCCCACCAAAGTCTCTCCGTTTCGATCAATTCCGATGTTGCACGGTCTACAGCGTAACGATGGAGGATAACGGCGCGCACGCTACAGTTATGATGTCGACAGTGTTGGTAACATCAAAATATAATCCTATTTGTAACCCTTCTAGCTGCTAACTGAGCAACAACTACGCCCTTGCTATCAAACGTGCCCGTTAAGTAGTTGAAACTAACTCTAGCCGATGGCGAATACAGTATGTCCTGTACTGGTTAACAGTTATAAGAGCTACAGTTTGTGGCTAACAAACTAGCTCGCGCACTTAGCCAGTTAGCCAAGATCCCGGCGTGATTGACGCGTCAACTAGTCGAGACAAATCTGGGGCTGCCGCTATTCGGAATGAGATGAATAACTAAGGGGAAAATAAAGTAAAACAACTAAAATAAAACAAAAACAAAAGCCCGACGTAAGCTCCCTCGCTCTCTATCTCACTCACGACTTCATGTTGAGGAGAGGAACATACTTTCATGCGACGTCGGCCATCTTGCGACTTCCCCGCGGACCGACAGAAAGTGGGAGGGCAGGAGAGCCGAGGGAAGTGGGTGGAGCGACGAGCCTCGTCACTGGGGGATGTAGTTCAGTATCTGTGACAATGTATCTGTGGTCTCGAGTAAAAGACTACAACGACCAGAACATCAAAGAGAGAGACGTGATGCGTGCCTTATCCAAAAGGAAAGGTTCATTCAAATGAAGATAGGGAAAATCGGCTCAGTTGGAAAAACTGGATAAAAATCACTGTATCTGAAATTCTCAAGTACTGTGGCAATAAACATGTGAGGAACGTGGACTGCAAGAGTGATAACAAGGGCTATGCAGAATGAGAAAGAATTATTTGACAAATTAATTTTGTCTGTCAAATTTAAAGAACACTTTTCGGCACATTTAGGTTTACGCATCCAGCATGATAGATAGATAGATAGATAGATAGATAGATAGATAGATAGATAGATAGATAGATAGATAGATAGATAGATAGATAGATAGATAGATAGATAGATAGATAGATAGATAGATAGATAGATAGATAGATAGTTCCCTTTTTACATAGACCTAATACTAATATGTCTTTATATATATATATATATATATATATATGTATGTATGTATGTATATGTGTGTGTGTGTGTGTGTGTGTGTGTGTACATTGAAGGCTTTTGGTTACAATACAATTGAAGTTAAACTGATGTCACCTTTACAATAATCATTAATCATGTAGCCTAATATAAAGTCTTGTGTTGATATATAAAATTAATAAAATATATAAAGTTAAATATATAAATTTTATACTTGAAATTAGCATTTACTACTATTACAAATGAATATATATATATATATATATATATATATATATATATATATATATATATATATATATATATATATATATATATATATATTATTATTATTATTATTAAAGCAATATTAAGTAATATTAAATTTGTAATTTTATAAAAAAAAAAGTATATATATATATATATATATATATATATACACACACACACACACACACACACACACACACACACATATATATATATATATATATATATATATATATATATATATATATATATATATATATATATATATTTTTTTTTTTTTTTTTTTTTTTAATAAAATTACAAATTTAATATTACTATTAATACTTTTTTTGCATTGCCACCTGCTAACGAATCAATTTCAAATGTTAGAGCAATGACTACATGTCAACAGTGTAGCAAAAGATGAGAAAATCTTTTCAAGTAATTTTAGACCTTATGAATCGACAAACCCATGACGAATGCATTGGCCTACAAATTGACGTCATCGCTGAACAGCTCAAACTATAGCTACACATAAACGACACTAGAGCGCGCCAAAGGCAAACTTGGCTGTAATAGCTGATTGTGGAACACCAGCGCTAAATCAAACAGAAGTGCACCGCAGCAGACTGCTTTAAATCACCCGTGATAAGTGTCAACTCAGTTTGCAGTGTGTAAATTATAAAAACAGATATTTGTTTCGAAACCTAATTTAGGTTGACCCCATTGCCCAACTACTTGCTTAATGAAAACTGGAAATTAATTAGAAACTAATAAAATGCATAATTAATATTTTATTGCAACAATTTACTGTCACATGTTTCTCCCTATATTCACTGTAAACTCACCAGCACCCAAAAACTAAAGTTGATAACTTCATTTCAGAATCAAAGTTCATTAGCTCAGGTCAGATGTTGAAATGACTACATGTGAACTATTCTTTAGTTTATAATATAAATAAAACAACTTGCATATCTTCAGCATTTGCTTGGAATACATTTTATGAACTTTGAACCTGGAGCTACAACAACCTCCACTATTTCCATAATTAAACTGAAAAGTAAAAATACAAGAAATTCAAGCAAAAATATCAAATATAGAAACAAATATGTCAATTATAATGCAGTAAAATGAATATAAATTAAACAAAAACTAAAACATAAGTTTAAAAGAACAAAATATCACTGCACCCTCGGCACAAAGAGTGTGTTTTACTATTTTCAGCAAACATTTTACTGATATTCCAGCTATTAAATGCACATTTCCTTCATGAATCATACTGTGCATGAGAGGTCAAGAAAACCTGGCTACAGGACCAGAATCATGCATAACGTTCATGTCTGGGCTCTCTTTTTTGTCTTTCCTAGGCTTTGTGCATATGCCAACATGATTGAAACAGCTAGAAGAATAAAAGCCGGGCTCAAGAAGAACTAAATCAATCACTGTTGTCCAAATGCAGTCTTTATATACCCATAGCTTTTTTAGTCATTTGCTTTGTTTGTATTTGCTGCAGCTGCACACAGTGGATTTAGAAAGTCAGTGAATGATATCTGAACTGCTAAGGCGATCCAATATACAGAAGATCCAGAGAGGAGGATCACACACATCAGACCAGATCTCAACTTCACTTCAGCTTTTTCACACTCCGCACAATCCAAATGCTCAATACTTAGGGCCCTATCATACACCCGGCACAGTGTGGCGCAAGGCGCAGTGCAATAGTCTTTTGGTAGTTTCAGCTTGGCGCAGGAGTCGTTTTGAGGCGTTGCGCTACGCTGTTTAAATAGCAAATGCATTAGCGCTCATATGTGCGCCCATAGGCATTCTGAGGCACACTGCTGGCGCGTTGCTATTTTGAGAAACTATAATAGATTTTTCATTAGACCAAAACAAACCCGGTCTAAAGTCCGGCGCAGAGATGCGCCTCGCTTACACACTGCTTAATACGCACAAGAGAGGGTTAGGCAAATATCTTTACATACGAAAAAATTTAAATATTAAGGATATATATAGGATATTATAAGAATAGATATAGGATATAAATATAAAGGATTAAAATATTACAAAACATTATTTTCTAGCCTACATAAATATGAAAAACCACTGCTCTTATGTCTTTTTCATCTCGGGAGGCTTTTTCAGTTCATTCATAACAATTTGCTTTTGTATAATGTTATTATTATTAGCAGTATTATTTAATATATCCATATTTATATTTGTTTTATTAAAAACAAGCTTAGATTTGCCCATCTGTCAGGTTTTAGACCATATGGGGCACAGCATGTGTTTTAGGATATAAATCAGGTTTTTGAGCACACTTCGTTATTATTGTTCTTTTATTCGTTTGCTGGAAATTAGAACTGAATTTAAAAATAGTTTAGAAACGAATATTTCCACTTAACAAACGCAATTATTTATTTATAGACTAATTGATGTCTGTGCATGAAGGTTTCCCTATCCAAGAGCGAAGGTGAAATAAGATCCATTATCTCTCATTCTCACGCAGTAGATGCTCTGTTTAACAGTTTTCTGTTAAAAAAAACTGTTAACTGTTTGCTAGTGAAATGCTAATTTTTTCCACTTACTTTATGCTCTGTAAATAGCGAATGCGCTTATGGCGCGATGCAGCTGGCTCTTAAAGGTAATGGGAGATGAGACTCTAATTGGTTTATTCTCAAAACACACATAAAACTCATTAAGAAAATAAACTCAACCCTTTTAGACTATGCGCCCCGGTGCAAAGCGGATTTTCCCGTCTCTAAATTAGCAAAAATGCGTTCTGACACACCCTGAAAGTGTTTACGCCCTGCGTTTTGAGCTCTGCGCATGGACCGTCAAAATAGAGCCCATAGTGTTTAATGCGAATAAGTGAATGCAAGATAGTTGCATAATTTTTTTAATAATGTTTTCAGTTGTTTTCTTTAACATTCAGTGTGAATTTACCTTTAAAAATTGCTGAAACTGATGTTATTTATCTGTTATGTTCAAGTTACTGTATGTTAAAAGCCCTCATCTGAACTTGTTTTTTGCAGACATTGACATCCACAGACATTGACATCCAGTAGGAACAAAAATACTGTGGAAATCAAAGCTAGAATGCTTTCAACATTCTGAAAAAAAAAAAAAAAAAAAAAAAAAAAATATATATATATATATATATATATATATATATATATATATATATATATATATATATATATATATATATATATATATATGTATATGTATGTATATGTGTGTGCGTGTGTGTGTATATATGTATGTATGCGTGTGTGTGTGTGTATGTGTGTGCGTGTGTGTGTGTGTGTTTATTTTTTTTCACACACACACACAAAAAAAGAAAATGAAAAAGAAATGTATTGATATGTTCTACCTTTTGTTAGATGATCAGTCATGAAACATTTTCGATACATTTATAAGTACTGCCTTATCAAATATTTGTCCATGCCTTTAAACATAATTCATGCTTCAAGTTTTTCATCTTTCATCTTTACTTTTCATATTTCAAGTTTTTTCAAGTTTGCATGTCAAGTTTTTTCAGTCAGTAAAAAAAAGGTTTGATTATCCAACATTTTCCAGCAGGTGGCACTAAAACACTCCACTTTATCTTCCTCAAAATTGAATACGTTTAAATTATTTATGAGAAATCTAAAAAGTTATGACTTTGTTTTTAAGAGCAGGAAATGGAAATCTATATTTCAGTGGAGGAGGTTTTGTGCAGCTGAGTGAGTTTAAAGATTGTACTTAGTGTTTTTGTCATGGATACATTATGACTACCTGTCTTATATGCTCCCGGTCCTCTGCGTGTTGCCAAAACAGTGCCAACCCACTGAGGCATGGCCTCTACAGGACCCCTGGACGTCTCCCGTGGTATCTGGCTTCATAAAGTTAGCAACAGATCGATCAAGGTGGATTTACTGAGGTGGAAGTTTCAAACTTGTTGGTCCAGCACATCCCACTAATGCTTACTGTAGTTCTATTGATATCTGGGGAATTTAAAGGAAAAGGCCTCATTTATAAAGTGTGTGTACTCTTACATCCATGCCAATGTTCAAATCTATAATAATAACTCTTTAATGTGGAAAAGTACTTACTGTTACGTTAAGTCTGAGCAGGCGAGTGTACTTTTTCTTAGTTTTTTAAAGTGGTATTTCTGCAGCTGTTTGAACATCTGAGGGTGCACATGAATTGATCACAAACAGTAAAGGTGAATTGTTAGAGATGATATGTGCAGTGTAAATAAACATCTGCTGCTA